GCCCACAGGAACACTGGACAGGATGGTGGCCAGGCCTTGCCCACCCCCCACGCCCTCGAGTCTGGAGGGAGTCACCCTTAACTGCACCTTCCCCCGACAGCCCTGGTTTCGGTCACCCTGTCTGGTTCCTTTAGGCCCGGCCCCCCCGTCCAGCGGACTCCAGAAATGACCGCACAGGGTCCTCCGTCCTGAGATACCTCGGATGCGGCTCTAGGTCCGGTGGGAGGTGCTCTGTCCCCACCACTCCCGGGCGGCACTCACCAGGCTCGGGGCCCGGACAGCGGCCTGTCGGGCTCGGCCCCCAGCCCTGCTCCTCCCAGCACCCGGCCTCGCCCGCGAGGACACACCCAGCGAGCACGCGGGGCCTCGGCACCCTCGTGAGGTCGCCGTTACCCAGGGAAAACCAGGGACGGCGGAAACCTGCCCAGGAGATGGCTCGATGGCTGGCCCCCATGACGGGCAGCACGGTTGGGACGGGGACAGCAGAGCCCTTCGTGAGCGCGACCTCCCGTGCTCAGGCCAGGCCAGAGCCGCTTCGGAAGGGGGCGCGTGGCCCCAGCGTCCAGGGCTGGGCACGGAGCGGCCCCCCGCAGGGACACCCAAGCACACCCGCCCGGAATCTAATTTCTGCTGAATTTGGCAGAAAGAAACCGCCTCGAGAAGAACACAGGAAGGGAAAGCGCGAGCTCCAGCTTGGGGGGGAGGGGTGTGCGGCTGCGCCAGGGAGATGGCTCTCCCTGAGCCCTGGGCGGCCTGGGGGCCTCCCTCCTGCCGGCCCGAGGCTGGCGTCCCCTCCTCCTGAGGCCACTCGCTGTCCCGCCAGGTGACACAGAGGCCTCCTGGGGCCCCCAGCTCCCTGCAGGAGAGGGGGTGGCCCTGCCCAGCCGGCTCTGCGCCCCTGGTCTGGCACCACGGAGGCCTGACCTCAGACTCTGACCTCCCTGTAGGACGCAGCTGCCCGTGGTGGACACGTACCGACCTGAGGCTGCTCTTCTTCCCGCCCGCGCCGTGTGGAGCAGGGGTGTGCGGAGGGGCCGAGAAAGGAACCCGGTCCTGCCGGCCCTGCTCCGGGGCCCACGGGCACGCCGGCCACCAGCCCAGTGGACCTTCCTCTGCTGGTCAGCTGCAGCCCCAATTTCAGCCCCAGGACCCCCTTGCCCTGGGCTCCTGCTGTCTGGGCCCGGCCCCTCTGCCCTGGGAGTGGGGCGCGTTCCCAGCCCGGGGTCCAGGGCTGCGGCCACATGTGGCTGAGTGCAGTCCGGAGCCAGCCGTCCAGGCCCTGGGCCAGGGGACAGACGCAGCTCCTGTTCCCAGACAGAGGCAGTCGGTGCCCTGTCCTCAGTGGGTCCCGTGACCCTTGCTAAGTGGCGTCCACGAGTCGCGTTCCTGGCCCTGCACGCCCCAACCACGAGTCCAGCAGGGAAGGCCCGAGGGAGGCAGGGAAGGGTGCCTGTGGGCTGTGCAGAGGAGCGTGTGCCCAGCACCCCGGGGACAGGGGCGAGCCGAGCTGCCCTGCATGGCAACGGGCGTCAGGGGTTCTCCGTTTTGCCGGCTGATCGGGCCTGTTGCGTGGTGACTCGGTGGCCGAGAGCGCTGAGACAAAGTCAGCTCCACGGACGTAGTTCCCTGTTGAATGTCAGCCGCCTCCTCCCCAGCAGCCGTTCCCACCACAGCTCCGTCGCGCCCCGGGCAGTGGGGGGCGGGGCTCTGTGCCGCAACACCGAGTGGCGTGGGCGGGAGCACTGGCCTGGGAGCCCCGTCTCTGCCGGAGAGCAGGGACCCATGAGCTCGCCCCACAGACGCCCACAGCAAGCACGCCGTCCGGGCCGTGGGCGTCTGCAGGTGTCCAAGATTCCCGGTCAGCTCAGTGCGGGCTCCCTGCGCTGGCACGGGGCCCCTCGTCCTGAGAGAGCCCTGTGAGCCAGTCCGAGGCACAGAGAGGTTGAGGGGCCCGCCCAAAGTCACACAGCGGGGAGGGGCGCTGGGGCTCGTGAGACTCAGGGTCCACACTGGGCTGTGACACCTCCCCCTGTTGTGGCCCGCCCACGACCCGGGGAGACGCGTTCGGTTGCTCCGCGGCCGGGGCCCTCCGCCCGTGTGGGGCTCAGACACAAAGATCCTCACCGGATGGCAGATGCTGAACAGTCAGAGGGATGCAGGGGCCACGGGGCCAGGGCTGCCGTCGGCACTTGCTGGACCGAAAGGAAAGGGCGCCTGTGGCCACAGGCACGTGACTGAGTGCCCGCCTGCCCCGCTCAGCAGGGCCCACCAGGGCCGTGGCCCCCCTCGGTCTGCTCAGCTCCGGGGGGCTGGCGGCCCTGTGGTCCAGGTAGCCCTTTGCTGTTGGTCAGTGTTCACCGTCTGTCACATGGATGTCATTTAGGACAGACCAGGTGCCGGGTACACAGGCCGCCGGGGCCACCTTGACAGAGCGCCCAGGCCCGTCTGCCCGGACAGTCTGGAGGCCAGAGGTCCCCGACCCGGGTGGGCGGGTCCGCGCCCTCTCCAGGCTCCGGGAAGGGTTGTCCCGGCTGCCTCAGTGTCACTCCTGTCTCCAGTGTCCTCCCCGGACGCCGGTCTGTCTGCCGATGTCCCCTACGTGCAGGGACACAGTCACGCTGGAGGGGACCCGCCCTGCTCCAGTGTGGCCCCACCTTAACCCCGTCTGTGGCGACCTTATTTCCAAGCAAGGTCACCTTCTGAGGTCCTGGGGGTGCGGACCTCGGCCTGTGAATTTGGGGGGGGGCACAATTCGACCGACGATGCCCGCAGGGGGCCCGGGGTGTGCACACGTCACTGTCTCTCAGGTGACGCCCCCGATGCCCCTGGCTGCAGACCCCCTTGGGGGCCTCCTACGTTCTACTGGCACCAGGGAGAGGGGACGACCACGACACCGGGCGAGTCCTCCCCTCGGGCGGGGACACCCTTCCCGTGTGGATCCGCGGGTCGGTGCAGGGGCGCTGAGCTGTGCTTTTTCGACGGCGAGCGGAGGGGACCGGCCTTCTGTCCAGGATGCCACGAGGAGCAAATGGACGACCCGACAGTGACCCGTGCGTCTAGGACGGGGGGTGGGTGGCGCCGGACACCCGCCCTGACCCAGCGGTCCCCGGCTCTTTGGAAGGCAGGTGCCGGCCCGCGGTGAGGTCGGGGCGGGGGCGGAGGGAGCTGCTGGTCTGAGGCCCGCCAGGCGCATCCCTCCGCCCCACGCCTCCAGTCTCCCGTGGTGTGACCGAGTTTCGGGTGCTACTCAGCTTTCCTTTCGCGAGACTGTGAGGACACGAAGTAAAACACACCCGGCTGTGAACCGGAGAAGCCGCCCTTCACACTTGCCGCCGCAGGAGGGAAACCCCGCAGATGCCGCTGCCATCTGGGGACGGGGTGGGGGGGGCGTGGTGCCAGGTCGCCGGCCGCCACAGGGGGCGGGGCCAGGCGACCCGGCACGGTTCCGAGGGGGTGGAGACAGATGACCGGACGGCCGGGCGGAGTGGTGGGCGCGAGGGAGATGGGGGGCTGGGGGTGGGGAGGCGTGGAGGGACCCGGGGGCCACCGTGCGCTCGCCGCCGAGAGCTGCTGGGGACGGGGCGTGGCGGAAGTCCCGGCCTGGGCCGAGGCTGAGGCGCCGTCCCCACAGCTGTCCAAGCTGACCTGTGACCACGCTGGACGTTTATGCAAAGGGCAACTTCCCGTGGGGTCACCAACACTGACTGCAGACGGACGTCAGACACACCTCGCAGTCTGACGGTCGGACCGCAGAGCAGCTCGTGGCGAGGCGACCGTCCCCTCCAGGGCCCCCTGGGACCTGGGCGCCCCCAAGGAGACGGATGCGGGGGCCACCCCAGTGAAACCCGGGTGTCGGGAAGCGGACTGGGGAGCATCTCCGGCGGGCGGCTGGCTTCTGGGGCCGGGCTCTCGGGACCCCAGTTCCGTCTCTGAGGAGGAGCCGGGGCCTCTGCTGACGGTCCTCACCCCGCTGCGCCCTTCCACGGGCAGCACCGCCCTGGGCTCCCGCCCCTGCGGTGGAGCAGCCCGGACACAACGCGGATGAGTCTCGGGCGCACAGCCCTTCCCTCCAGTGTGAGCGGGTGTGAGTGGGGACCCCGCGGGGTGAGCACGCCGCCCCTGCACGGGCTGGGTTTCCCGCAGCGCCCTCTCCTTCGCTGCCCTGCCCACCCCGGAACCCGCCGCGCCGCTGCTTCCTAAACGCTTGGGGTCCGGGACCCTCCGCGCGCCCCACCCCCCTCCCGCTGGCCACCCAGGCGGCGCTGTCCCACGCCCACGCCCGCTGGGCTCAGCTTCTTGGGATCTCAGGACCGTGCCACGCACCCGCGCCCCGCACTGGCTGGCGGGGTGTGGAGGAGCCAGGGCAGGGCTTGTCCTCAGCCCGCCGCGGGGAGGGTCCCGCGTGCGGGGGGATGGGGTGGCAAGGAGCAGGGGGACCCCTAGGGCCCCCGCCCCGTGTTCTTGGTACTGCTTCTGCGTCTCGCGGGACCCTGGCCTCAGGCGCGGGCAGCGCCTCCGGCTCCACGGGAGCTGAGGGACCTGGTCACACTGGTGGGAGGGGAGACACATTTGGCAGGATTAACACGCCGCGGGGAAGAGCGCGGGATGTCAGCATTCTTAACATCCCCAGAGACGCCCCGTGAGCTGCTCTGCGTGCGGATGGGGAAACTGAGGCTCAGAGATGCAAAGCGGGAGACCAAGGTCATGCGGACCGTCCGGCGGTGGGGGACGCGGGTGGCGGGGTGGGGACACGCGTGGGCCGCGCGCGCCCAGCCAGGCGGCTCCGGGCTCGGCTGTCGCAGCGCGGTCGCGGGAGGATCGCGGCGGGGGCGCGGGCGGCACCAGTGCGCAGGCGCGGCGGGCTGGAGGGGACGCGCTCGGGGCGCGCGCGCGGGGCAGCCGGCGCCCCAAATCGGCCCGCCCGCCCCGGCGCCTCGCCGCCCGCCCGCCCGCCCCGGCGCCCCGGCCGGCGAGGGGCGCGCCCGCTGCATGGCGCTGAGATGGCGGGGGCGCCGCGCGGCCGAGGCGGCGGCGGAGGCGGAGGCGGCGGTGGAGGCGGTGCAGGCGAGCCCGGGGGCGCCGAGCGGGCGGCCGAGTCGGGCTGCCGGCGCGGGCTGCGGGCGTGCGACGAGGAGTTCGCGTGCCCCGAGCTGGAGGCGCTGTTCCGCGGCTACACGCTGCGGCTGGAGCAGGCGGCCACGCTGAAGGCGCTGGCCATGCTCAGCCTGCTGGCGGGCGCGCTGGCGCTGGCCGAGCTGCTGGGCGCGCCGGGGCCCGCGCCCGGCCTGGCCAAGGGCTCGCACCCCGTGCACTGCGTGCTCTTCCTGGCGCTGCTCGTGGTCACCAACGTCCGCTCGCTGCAGGTGCCGCAGCTGCAGCAGGTCGGCCAGCTGGCGCTGTTCTTCAGCCTCACCTTCGCGCTGCTCTGCTGCCCCTTCGCGCTGGGCGGCCCCGCCGGGCTCCACGCCGGGACGGCTGCGGGCCCGGCGGCCGCGGACCAGGGCGTCTGGCAGCTCCTCCTGGTCACCTTCGTGTCCTACGCCCTGCTGCCCGTGCGCAGCCTGCTGGCCGTTGGCTTCGGGCTTGTGGTGGCCGCCTCGCACTTGCTGGTCACAGCCACCTTGGTCCCCGCCAAGCGCCCCCGTCTCTGGAGGACAGTAAGTGCCGCCGCGCGTTTCGCCTCCAGCCCGGGACACACCCGCCGGGGAGGGGCTGGGAACGCTGGAAACCAGGCGCGCATCTACCGATCGGGCAGGTGGGGAACTGAAGCCGGATCTTTTCGGGGGCGGAGGCGTTCAAGGTCACTCCGAGAGTTGGGGACACCGTGGGGCTGGCACCCTGGGCTGGGCTCTTTTCTGAGTTACAGCCCACAAAGCACCTCTGGGTGTGGGACGTGGGGACGGGAGGAGGGCGTGGAGAGGGCAGGATTGCCCCAAGGTCAGGCAGCTGGTGAGCGGCCAGGCGGGGCGGGAGCCGGGTCCGCGGGTCTGGACGCACCGGTCACGGCGGGAGGGGTGGGAACTGGGCGCAGAGCGGGTCCAGGCGGACAGGGCTCCTCTCCCGCGTGCGCCTGGGGCGTGCGCGGGCGCGCCAGGTTCTCGGAGTCCCCTCCTGGCACTGAGGCTCCCCGGGGGGGGGGGCGTGGGCGAGGAAGGGGAAGGGACTGTGGCCCCTTCCAATCGCCCCGGCGCCCTTTGGTGGACCCCTCTCGGGTCCCGAAGGACCGAGTTTGCCAAGGTCGCACAGAGCCCTGGTCTCTACCGCCCCCCCGTCTGCTGGTCCGCGGTCCGCCGCGGCTCCGGCCTCGCCTGCAACGCCGAACTTTGTCGCTGTCGCCGTCCGGGCTGGTGGGCGAGGTGGCGGCGAGGCCGCGCAGCCTCTTCCCGCGGGCTCCTCCTTGGCCGCGTGCGGCTCTCGGAGCTCCTCCAGCTTCTCCGTGGGGTGCAGCCCCCCCCCCCGCGTCTGCCTTGGGCTGTGTTTTGCCCAGAGGGTGGTGGGAACTCGAGGGGTGGGGGAGAGGAGGTGTCGGGTGGGGGAGGGGGTGGGGGAAGGGGGGTGCGGAGGGGAAGCTGGAAGGGTAAGACACCTGGTGGGGGATGGGCACCAGGCAGCGGGGGCTGGGGCCGGGAAGGGGGAGGCCCCGCCCCCGGCGGTGGTGCCCTGGTCACTCCCCGGACCCACGCGGTCAGAGCAGCCACAGCACCCAGCGGAGAGGCCATTCTGGACCTGGGCTTCAGGGCCGGAGAGGGGGTGGGGCTGCGAGGGCTGGAGGAGGGGGGAGGACCCGCAGGGGGCTGGGGGAGAGGAAGAGGAGTGGGCAGAAGACGGAGAGAAGGGACCGCGGCCAGGGCTGCTGGCCCAGAGGAAGCGGGAGGGGGAAGGGAGGGCGCCAGGGGGTTGGGCAGGTTCGGAAGCCCCGCTCACAGGCCCCGCCCCCTCGCCTCCTGGGGGTGGCACCTGGCCTTGCTTGACCTTCTGGGAAGAGTCACTCCGGCAGCTTTCCCTCCACCGCCCTCCTGTCTGCGGTGTTTGCCCCCCCCCCCCAGCCAGCTCCCTTCCCCCTCGTGGCCCCCCCCCAGCCCCCGACAGCCTCCCCTCGAGGACCCGACGGGAGGCCCGGAGGCCGGGTCGCTGCGGGCGAGGGGGGCCCGCCGGGAGTGTGGCCCCGGGGTGGCGGGTGCTGTCGCCCACCGTTTCCAGTAAAAACCGGCCTGCGCGGTCTCCGAGCCCCCTTCAGGGGACTGAAGGTCCAAGGGGAGACGGACGGTGCGCCTCCCAGAGGTGGGGAGCCCCCGCCCGTTCCAGGGGAGGCCAGCCCTGCTCTCGGGGACCAGCCACCCGGGTCCACTGCTCCCCCGGCGCCCTCCCTGGCAGGGCAGGCCTTTCCCCGCCCCCCCCCCCGCCAGCCCCCCAGTGAAGACCGCCGCAGTTGCCTGGCTGGCTGGTGGCAAAGATGAGGACCTCGCGTGGGAAAAGCTCGGGTGCGAGTCTCCTGCCGCTGCTCCAGAGCGCGTCCGGGTCTGTGGTGGACGCAGGCAGGGGCGGCAGGGGCGACCGACGGGGCCGGGTGGGCGCGGAGAAACACGAGGCGAGGGCACTGGGCGACCGTCCTGAGGCCCGTGAAGGGGCGGCTCCCGTGTGGCCCCCCTGTTTACCGAGCGGGGCTGGGGCTTGTCCCTGCCCCCGCCCCTCCCCACCGCCCGCAGCCCTCACCTGCTGAGAGCAGCCCCCTAGCACCCACACCCACTGGCAGGTGGTCTCTCCCTGCATCATCCCCCTCACCCCTGCCGACGCCCCGACCTCGGGGCTGTGTGAGTGGAGGAGGCTGGGGAGCCGGTGAGCGGCAGCGGCTGCCGTGCCGCAGGCGAGGAGGTGAGGTGCAGGGAAGCCCCTGGGTGTGTGGACACGGGTGCCGATCGGGGGAGACGCTCCCCTTGCCCTCCGCTGGATGCGACCCCGGGGCAGGTCATGGGCTCCCTCTCCAGGCCAGCGGCTTAGACAGTACTCACTGGGCAGCAGGCGCCCAGGGCCCACCTGGCTGGAGTGGAGGGAAGGTGGGGTGCGGGTGGGCGTGTGGCACGACAAGGTAGGGCTCCCGGCTGACAGACCGCAGCTCGACTAGCGATTCCCCCCTCGACCACACTGTCCCGCCTCCCCCAGCCTGTGTGCCCCCTCCCTGGTCTGTCCCTCAGCCCCTCGGTCCCACCCCGACCGCGGTGGGGACGCCTGCCCTCCCCCATCCCTGCCCCCTGGGCCACCTGAGGTCTCGCTCTCTGGAAAGGCCAGGGCTGCCCGGCCCAGGATCGACCTTCGGCATCTGGCTCCCCTGGGCCGCCCCGACCCCTCCCCGCTCTTCCTCCCGCCCGTGCCCACCCCGAGGAGACGGCAGCCGAGAGGGCCAGGCAGGGGTCCCCGGGCACCAGGGTGCCGGGCAGGGATGGCACCTGGGGGGGTCGCTGCTGCCTCGAGGGAGGACCGAGGGCCCACCTGTCGTGTGTTCTGCGTGTGCACGGCATTGAGTGGGGGCTGGGAGCCGGGACGGCGGCGTGTCTCCGGGGAAGGCGTGCTCCCTGCGGGGAACGTGTCCCTCTGTGCCCGTGGGCACGGCAGCCCGCTCCGCACAGGTCAAACATTGACTCTGCAAAATGCGCCTCATCGTCTCACCGAGCCGGCCCCCCAGCCGCCACCAGGGCCTCCGGGAACGGCTCGCCTGACCTGTGTCCTAACGCGGCAGCTGGCCTGTCGCAGCACGGAGCGCTCCCCTGGGCACGGGGCCCCGGGCCTCAGGCGCGGCCGCCGGCCTGGCCAGCAGCGGCAGGTTCCGGCCCCTCCGGGACTGCCCAGCCCCCGGCTCCAACCCGTGCGGAGTGTCCAGCTGGGAGATGCGCCTGGGTGCGAGGGACTGGGGGTGTCTGCAGCCGCGGGGAAGGTGACCAGGGTGCGCTGGAGAGGACAGGGCCTCGTGGGGGTGTTCAGGGTCCAGGTGGGCACTGTTTCCAGAGGACTTTCGGCCACTCCTGTGTGCCCGTCAGGGGGTCGCCCGGCCCTCTGCCCGGCTGGCGGAGGGGGTTTGTGCGGCCGTCTGTCTCCAGGAGGCCTGCTTCCTCTCCCGCCCGCCCGAGGTGGGCGGGCCTGTGCCCCACTCCGGCAGGGTGCAGCCCGAGCTGGCTCTGTCCCCCACGCCGCAGGCCGCAGGCCACGGGCCGCGGGAGGGCGTCGGGCGCGTCTGCCGAGCGGGCCCCTGCCCACCGGCCCTGCTCTCTCCCTCCAGCTCGGCGCCAACGCCCTGCTCTTCGTGGGCGTGAACGTGTACGGGCTGTGCGCCCGGGTGCTGGCCCAGCGCTCCCAGCGGAGGGCCTTCCTGCAGGCGCGCACCTGCATCGAGGACCGGCTGCGGCTGGAGGACGAGAACGAGAAGCAGGTGGGTGTGCCTGGCCTCGGCGGTCCCCGGTCCCCTGGGGCCCTCTGCGGCCCAGGGCCGCCTTCCACGGTTCCGAGCGCCCGGGGCGCCCTCTGCGCTGCTCTCGCCTGGGGCTCCGCAGCAGAGCGTCTGGCAGCGAGACCAGAGTGAGGGGGGCGGCGCTCAGGGCCCGACAGGGCAGGGCCACCTCTGGGTGCGCTCCTGGCAGGCACTGGCCGAGGCTCCCGGCGGGAGACGAGGGTGCTCGGGTGCACCGAGCAGGTGTTCCGCAGGGCAGGTCTGCACCTGTGTGGCCACCACTGGCCAGCAGGGTTTGTGGGAGGGGGACCGAGGGGCCCGCCCCAAAGTTCGGACACCCAGCGTCGGGCCCTGCATGGGTCCCAGCGGCCGGGCTGTGTTGCTCGGGGACGGGATTCGGCATCTGGGGCCGGCATCACCCTGCGTGTCCTGGGCCTGAGGCGGCCGAGTCTGGGGCAGCCCCGCGAGGAGGGGTGTCTGCAGCAGAACCAGGGGCACCCCCTCAGTTCGGGAGGGAGAGCCCTGCTGTTGAGGGAGTCAAGTGAGGAGGGGGGAGTCCGGGCGCTGTGGCCGCAGACACTGTGTCTGGGTTGGCCTCGCGCCCTGGGCCCCGCGGTGGCAGACGGGTGCGGCCACCCTCCGTGTCTTGCCATGGAAATGCCGCAGACGGACGGTGGGGAGTGCTGCCGACCGTCTCCCAGGGCGGCTGCGGGGCCGGGGGCCGGGGGAGGGCGGGCGGGCGCGGCCTGTCTGCCACCAGACACCCCACCTCTGGACGGGTCTCTGCCCCCCTTCGAGGAGGCTGCGTGTGTGTCATCCGTGTCCCCGAGGCTGAGCCCTGGGACGGGGCCTCGGAGCGCAGTGCTGGCGTGACCCTCCCCCCGCGTGTCCGGCTGCGGGACGCGGTCCTGGCAGGACAGACGGGCCGTCCCTCCTGGCCGGGCTCTGGGCTCTGTCGGCCCACGCACCCAGGCCTCCGCGTGGTCGCCGAGTCCCTGCGTCACGAAGGGACTGGGCTCGGCTCCGAGACCTGGGAACGGAGCTGCACTGACTCCGGGGTGGGGGGCGCGGCAGAGGGGGGCCGGCGGGGAGGGGCTGGTGGCCGAGGGGCACTGCAGAGGCCGGAGCCCGGGGCCCCTCCCCCTAGAGAGCTCCCCCGGGGGCTCTGGGTCGAAGGGCACCCCAGGGAAACCGTCCCGCACGCAGGCGGCGGCGGCCCGGGGGCCCCTCTCCGTTCGGGGACAGAGTGCCACAGTCGGCTCTCTGAGGTGGGCAGAGGCCGCGGCCCCGATCCCCAATCGGGAAGAAAGAGCAGCAGCAGTGAGGGCCTCAGGGAGGGGCAGCCCGGCCGGCCGCAGGTGGAGGCAGGTTGAACATAGACTCCGGGGCGATGCTCGGTGCTCCGGGCGATCAGACGCCAGAGGACCTGAAAGCCGCGGCCCGTGGACTGACTCCCAGAACGGGGTCGGGTGCCGCGGACACTCTGGACGGGAGGGAAGCCCGGAGCACGCTGGGACTCGGGGTGTGGGGGTGGGGGGGACGGGGGGCAGAGAGCGAGTGGAGACGGGCGGGCGAGCCCGACTCCGGGAAACGGTGTCGTCCGGGGACGACCAGGAGGCGGAACCGCCCAGGGGCGGACCCGCGAGACCGGTGTCGTCACAGCCCGAGTGGAGGCCGGGCCGGGCCGCCCGGGGCTTCACGGCCTTTCCTTCCCTGCGCTGGCCGGACGTCCAGGGCCGCGCGGACGGCGCTCCCCGGGCGGTGTGAGCCGGAGCCGCGGGCCTGGCGTCCCTCCCTCGGACGAAGAAGCTCCCCTCTCCCTCCCTCCCTGAGAGTTCCCACCACGAGTGGGTTTGCTGAGCGTTTCCCGGCAGCGACTGACGGCCGTGTGAGCGGCCTCGGTGCGCCGTCGGGCGCGTCGTAGGACACTGGTCGGTGTTTCGGTGCTGCATGGGCGCCCGGCCCGAGCCAGGGCCTCAGGCGCTGCTGGAGGGCTGGCAGTCCTGCCGCAGGTCGCGGGGCGGCGTCTGCGTCCTTCCGGGGCGTGGGTCTGCAGGCCCCTCGTGCCGTCCTCAGGCGACTCTGGCGTGAGGCGATGCTGGCTTTACAAAGTGGATTGGGACGTACTCCCTCGTCTTTTTTTTTTTTTTTAAAGATTTTATTTGTTTATTTTTTAGAGAGGGAAGGGAGGGAGAAAGAGAGAGAGAAAGAAACATGAATGTGCGGTTGCTGGGGGCTGTGGCCTGCAACCCAGGCATGTGCCCTGGCTGGGAATCGAACCTGCGAGGCTTTGGTTGGCAGCCCGCGCTCAACCCACTGAGCTACGCCAGCCAGGGCTCCCTCATCTTTTGTGGGAGATTTAACGTGGAGTTGGTGTTGGTTAATTCTTCTTTAAGTGCTTCGTATAGATGTCCAGTAGAACCGTGTGGCTCTGGAGAGTTCTTTCTTACCAGTTTTTAAATGAAACGTTCAATTTCTTTAATAGATACACGGCTACTCAGACATTTTGTTCACAGTGCTTGTTTCACATTGGGGGAATTGTTGTAATTCACGCTTTTAGAGAAATCGCTGTGTTTCTTCTGAGTTTACGCGTGAAGAGCCGTTACCGCTCCCTCCCTCTGGCCCACGGTGTCTGCGGGGTCAGCGGCACCTGTCACTTCCCTCCTGGCCCCCTGCGTTTGTGTGTCTCTCTGCCGGTTTTGCCGCGGGGCTGCCACTGAGGGGCAGAGTGATTTGGGGACCCTCCCGCGTCCCCGCCGGGCCCACCCTCCTCGGGAGGACGGCCTCACCGATTCCACGCGGGGTCTGAGCCCCTCCCTGTGGTTTTCTTCCCAAAGCCATGGAAGGGGGCGTGAGGACTGGGGGAGGAGTGGGCCTCAGACCCCTCTGGGCCAGACCACCGAGGCCGGCAGGGCGAGGCCGAGGCTGGGGGAGGAAGCTGTGGCCTGGGCGCGTGGCAGAGTCCTGGTGGTGCCCCTGAGGAGCGGCTGGGGCCCTGCTCCTGTGCCCTGGGGAAAGAGCGTCGGATCCCCAGGGGCTGGCGAGAAAGCAGAGGGCGAGGCTGGGAGAAAATGCCGCGTTGCCACCAAAGCCGCTCATCTCTGCACGAACAGGGCCCCTCTCTGTCCCGGGGACGGGGTCTCTCGCTGGTCCCTCTCAGTGAGGGGCAGGGCTGGCCGCCTGGGCCCCTCCTGTGACCGGCAGCCTGGAGAAGCCGGGGTGCACGGGGTGCCGTGAGCGACCGGTGATCTGGAGGTGCCTGCCCGGAGCTCTGGGATCGTGTTTCCCTGTGCAGTGACTGTCCGGGCCGGGGATTCCGGGGCCGAGGAGGGGCTGCAGGGCTGGTGCCTGTGCGGCCACGCGTGAGGAGGGCCGCGGGCCTGGGCGGGTGCCTTGAGGGTGGGCAGAGTGGGCCCCATGGGGCACACCACGCGTCTCTCCCGTCCAGGAGCGGCTGCTCATGAGCCTCCTGCCCCGGAACGTTGCCATGGAGATGAAGGAGGACTTTCTGAAGCCCCCTGAGAGGATTTTCCACAAGATTTACATCCAGCGGCACGACAACGTGAGGTGGGGTGTGCCGGCTGGGGACCGTGGGCCTGGGAGCCGATGTGGTGTTGATGCAGGTGGGGTGATGCAGGTGGGGGGCAATGCAGGTGGGGGTGATGCAGGTGGGGGGCAATGCAGGTGGGGGGCGATACAGGTGGGGGGCAATGCAGGTGGGGGTGATGCAGGTGGGAGGTGATGCAGGTGGGGCGATGCAGGTGGGGCGATGCAGGTGGGAGGCGATGCAGGTGGGGGCGATACAGGTGGGAGGCAATGCAGGTGGGGGTGATGCAGGTGGGGCAATGCAGGTGGGAGGTGATGCAGGTGGGGCAATGCAGGTGGGGGCAATGGAGGAGGTGGGGTGATGGTGGGGTGTGGCCGAGGTGGTCAGAGGGCCCTAGTCCGAGGGCAGGAGGGGCCCGTGGGGTCCGGCAGCCCCAGGCGAGCACCTGCGTGGCGGGGAAGCAGGCCCCACGGGGTGGGGTGGTGGCTTCCCCGATGACGCCCGCCCGCCGCAGCCGCTGTCCCAGACTCAGCACCTCTGGCTCCTGCGTTGCCGGGAGAGGTGGAGCTGGGTCCCTGGGCTGGGTGTGGGCGTGGCTTCGGGCGGGCAGGGTCCTGCGTCAGGCTCGTCGCTGGGCCTGGTGCAGGGGGTGCCAGGCCCGGGGTGGGCGCTCTGTTCCTCCGTTTGTCCGTCCGTGGCGGCCGTGGGCGGGGCTTGTCGTCCCCGTGTGACAGGTGAGGAACGGCCCTGGAGTGAGCCAGCTTGCCCCGCACACGCTCCTGTGTGCTTGCCTGTTTCTAGAGTCCGTTAGAGCGTTTTGTCCCACCGAATGGTGGGATCCTTTCCGAGTCCTCGGGACAGCTGAGTAGGGCGAGTACCCGCCTGCCACTCAGGCGCGAGGGGGCGGCTCTCCGGGGCGGTCAGGGGCCAGGCCACCCTGCTCGCTGGGCCCCGGGACACGGACGGGCGAGGAGGCCTTGCTGGGTCTCTGTCCAGTGCCACAGGTGGCGTCCCCCTTGCCCGTCGAGGGCCCAGCCGTCTCTGTGCTCAGCCTGCGCGGCTCACCGCCAGGTGGCCGAGCTCAGGCCCACTGCCCCGCCCCTCGAGGAGGCCCGGCGCTGTCCTCCCAGAGAGGGGCTGCCGGAGGCTGGGGTGGGGGGTGCCCGGTGCGGGGCCAGCACCTGAGCCCAGGCAGGAGGGGCCTCCTGTGGACACTCAGATCCATTTAAGGTAACCACACCCAGGTGGTCTGCCCGCATGGCCACTCGGCTTTGTAGGGGAGGGGACTGCGGTCCAGTGAGAGTCCCCAGCCGAGAGTGGTGGGGCCGAGGGGACCGGGGTCGGCAGGGCTCTGCATGGCCGCAGAGTCTCCTGCCCCGGGGGCCACCGGGAGTCCGCAGCGCCGCCTTCCCGCCTCAGTCTCCTCACCTGCACAATGGGAAGAAGAGAGCTCTGCTCTGCAGCCCGGGCTGAGGGACAGGCGGGGAGGGTGGCTTTGAGGTGGCCCGCCAGGGTGACTGCGGGCGGTGGCGGGGCCGTCCTGCCCCGAGGCGGGCGTGCTGGGCGGACAGGCAGCGAGCGCCCCGTGTCTTGCAGCATCCTGTTCGCGGACATCGTGGGCTTCACGAGCCTGGCCTCGCAGTGCACGGCCCAGGAGCTGGTCAAGCTGCTCAATGAGCTCTTCGGCAAGTTCGACGAGCTGGCCACGGTAAGAGCGGCTCCTGCGCCCCCAGCCCGGCCCCAGGTCCGGTGTCCCCCCTGCACCAGCGCACCGCTCGCTGACTTGGTGCGGGGGCTGCGTGTGGGGTCTGCAGACGGGGGTGCGCCCGCCCCTGCCTGGTCCCACTAGGGCGGTGGGACCACGGCCGGCACAGCCCCCGGCTGCGGGCCGGCCGGACCTGCCCTCAGGCCCCCCCCCCCTGCAGGGAAGCGGCCATCCCCATCCCTCAGCATGAGGTCGGCGCGGCTGCTCCGGCGTCTGGGGTGCTTTTACCGCATCGAGGACAATTCCTCTCGTTCTCGGTTTGCGGAGTTTCCGCCGGAAACGGATGCTGGCTCTCGTCCAGCGCTCCATCGCGTCCACGGTTCGCTCGGGAGGGTTTCCGTGGGCGGCCCGCTGACGCGGGGAACCGCGGGGACGTGTGACGGCCGTGGGGACGACCTGGCGTCCCGGGATGAGCCGGACGCTGTCCTTCCGGCGGGCTGCTGGCTCCGACGCGCTGGATTTCGGTTGGCAACTCCCCGAGCACGCCCCGGAGGCTGCTCTCCCGCGGCGTCCTCGCGCTGTCAGTGGCTGGGGGCCCTCCTGCCGCGGTTCCTGGGGGGGTTCTCGCGGACCCGGGTGATATGCCTGCCCTCACGGGTGCCAGCGTTCGGCGGTGGGTGGGTCCGCCCGGGCCAGGGTCTAACGGGGACGGTTTCTGCCTGCAGACCCAGGGTCTTGATACAGGGCCCACCAGGCTGTCTTTTTCCCTCCTCCCGTGGGGAGCTGTGGGAGCTCCCCTCATTTCCCAGGAACCGGTCCGTCTTTCCTGAGCCGGCACAGTTGTGGGAATAAAGTTGCTCCCGGTGCTCCCCCTCCCCCCGAGACCCGCCGCCGCCGCGGCCACGCCGTCGCTCCCGGTGCTGGGCTCGGGGACGGGTGTCTCCACGCCTTCCTGGTCGTCCTGGGGACAAGTTTGTCGATGGTATCGATTTCCTTGAGGCGGTTTCCTTTGGTTCCATTGATTTCTCCATTCTGTTCTAATAAATTCCTGTCTGGCTTGTTTCATTTTGCTTATTCTGGTCTTGGATTGCTCTTCTGGTTGTAGTTTCTTACGGCAGAAATGGAGGCTGTCGTTTTGAGATCGTTTTCCCTCTCGGGATATAATGCTCCGCTGCAAACTTCCCCAACATGCTGTGCTAGCAGAACCCCCAAATCTCCCAGCTGTGCTTTTACTTTTATTTTTTTAAGATTTCATTTATTTATTTTTAGAGAGGGGAAGGGAAGGAGAAAGAGAGAAACGTCAATGTGTGGTTGCCTCTGATATGGCCCCCACTGGGGGCCGTGGCCTGCAACCCAGGCATGTGCTCTGACCGGGAATCGAACCTGCGATGCTGTGGTTCGCAGCCCGTGCCCAATCCACTGAGCTATGCCAGCCAGGCTGTGCTTTTACTTTTATTCGGCTCAAAATACTTCCTAATTTCTCTTTCAATTTTCTTAGACCCATGGGTTATCAAAGACCTCTGTGTTTTTTACTTCAAATTTAAGTCTCCTGTGGTCAGAAAACATGCTTTTTTGATTTGAATCCTCTTACATTTATGCGCCGAAGTTCAGTGTGGACCCTTCCCTTTGCTGGGGCGACAGTGAGGAGGCGGCAGGCCAGGATGCCCCCCCCCCCCCCCCGCCGCTGACGCTCTTCCTGGGTTCCTCCGTGCCTGGGGTGCAGGCTCGGGAAGGCCCACCCACACCCTTCCCGGACGCCGCGGCGGTTAGACAAACACCAGCGTGTTTGCCTTGGTCTCCAGAGCGGCGGCGGTGCGTCTGTCCCTTATCTGGTGGCTGCGGAGGCGCACGGTTTCTGACCTTTCCCCCACTTGTCAGCCCTGGTTTGGAGCTGTGTTTGCCCGCGCGTCCCTCTGCGCCGACGGGGCGCACCTGTCTGGGGCTCGGTCTCCCTCCACTGCCCGTGGGGGTTGGGCCTGCCTGGACGCCAGCTTTCTTCACAGGAAAGTGGACGAGATGGACACAAAGCAGATGTCCGTCTGGCCAGTTCCCAGAGGCCGAAGGGTGGCGAGGAGAGTTCTCCGTGTGCCCGCTGCAGGGATGAGCCCGACCTGGGCTTGGCCTCAGGCGGAGGGCCACCTGGGCCGGCCCCGCCCCGCCCCGCACGGTGACAGCCAATAGGAAGCTCCCTGGCCCCGGTCAGGACCCCGCCCTTCAGGGGCTGTTTCCGTGGGAACCTGTCGCTCTGTTGTGCGTCCTCAGCCCCAGGGTGGCTGTTGCGCACGGGACGGGGTGCGTGGGACCCAGGACAGTGCGTGGGACAGTGCGGGTGGTGCACGCACGGGTGGGGGGGCCCATCGCTCGTGTCCCCGAGCAGGCAGGAGGGTGGGCGGCAGCAGAGGCATCTGCCAGCACGTCGCTGCTGCTGCCCAGGTTCAGGGGCACAGCACGTGGTTCGACGTCTGTGCGCCCTGTGAAGCGACCCCCCCAAAGGCCGGTGCCCTGCCGACACCTCTCGTGGCCGCCGCACTGCTGTGCACTGTTCCTGCGTCCCCACAGTGAACCCGCGTTTCCGTGATGCCCCCCCAGCAGGAAAGGGGACGTTGACTGGAAAGTGGGCGGACGTTTGGGAGCCTATGTGCCCGTCGTCGGTGTGGGGGTCCCTGGTAGACACCCCACCCCGGCTGCCCGGAGACCGCTTCCTCAGCAGCTGGGCCTGCATGGGGTAACTCCAGCCCCCTGCACCTGCCCTGCCCGCCCCCTCAGGCGCCCCAGGTTCCAGAGCCCACCCGCCTTCCCAGACCTGGGTCCACGTGTTGGCCTCTGGACCCCCACCTGCGTTTCAGAGGTGCCTCAGAAGGGGCTGGGGCACCTTCGGGCTCTCCCTCCTGGGCTGGGGCGGGCGGATGAGTGCGGCCTGCAGGAGGCTGTCTGCCTCAGAGGGAGGGGCGGGGCCCCAGAGCCTGCAGACCGCACCTGAGAGGCAGAGCACCAGGCCCGCCGGCCCGCCTGCCCGCCCGTCCTCCTGCCACCTGGCTGACGCTCCAGCCACCTCCTGCCCCTCCTGCCCCCCCTCCCAGCACATCCCTCCCACTGCCTCCTCCCTCCTCTCTCTGCTGCGTCTGGGAAACAGCTGTTCAGGCTACACAACGCCGCCCCGAGGGACCCCCAGGCGCCGAGTCCAGTGCTTATAGGGAAGCTTTTGAACTAGAACATGACCCTGGTGGAAAGCGTGTTGTTTGGTCTCTGCATCCTGGAGGCAGAGGCTGGGACACTCGAGACTCATAAACCCAGACGATGCAGTTCGCTTCCCAGCCTGTTCGGGGCCACCTGGGGCCGGGCCAGGGGGAGGTGTGGCTCTGCTCTCAGCACAGCCTGACCCCCGGGGCCGGGGGGCTGCGGCTCTGTGTCCACCGTCTGGGCGGACCGCCCTGCCTAGTGGGGCTGCAAAGCCGCACGAGAGCCTGGCCGACCCCGGCATGTCGGGGTCATCGCCAGCCTGCAGCTCTCCTCCGGGGTGGGGGTTCCCTGGGCTCCGGGAGGGACAGGTCCCACGGCGTCCCTCGGCTGCTCCCCAGGCCTGGTGAAGGCCGCCCGCCTGTGATGACCGGGAGAAGGCGCCCAAGGGGCTGCCCCTCGTGATGGACAGTGACGATGGGGACAGGCGGGGGTGGGCACTCCGGACGTGCCGGGAGAGAGCCGGCTGCCGCCCGCTGGCCTGGAGCCCTGGGCAAGCGTGGCCTGCCGGGGCCCGGTGCTGGCCGCGCAGGGGGGACGCCTGCCCTGGCCGTCTGGCCCCGGGCTCCCAGACACTGCCACAGGCCAGGCCGACCGCAGCACAGCTGTCCCGGGGTGGTGTGAGAGGGAGAGCCACTGTAGCACCTGGTGACTGAGGGGCCACCTGTGGTCACAGGAGACTGGGCGGCCAGCTCCCCATGCTGGGGACCACCTTTGGGGTTCAGGAGGAAGTAAACCCAGTGGCTGGGCGTCCGAGGCCCCACCTGATGACAGAGCATCTGCTCACCTGCCCCCCTCCCCCGCCCATCTGCCTGTGCCTTGGGTCCTTGAGCTGAGGGAGGCGCAGGGTGGGGGGGCAGGTGTTGGGCGGTGGCCTGGGCCATCCCTCCGGACAGCAGTGGGGGTTGCGCCCCTGGGTCCTGTCGTGCCCCTGGGTCTTTTCCAGCCGTGCGACCGGCAGAGCGGCACGCGTGTGGCTAAGGTGTGTGGGAGGCTGTGGGAGCCGGAGCTGAGCGCTCACCCCCGTGCCGGGGTGGGGGGGCACCCACAGATTCCAGGGCACTGGCGTCAGTGTCCAGGTGCGTACGGGGGCAGCTGGAGCGGGCGCTGCAGAACCGGGGGCGGAGCTCCGGCTCCGTGAGGCCGTCTGGGGTGCCGGGACAGGCGCGCGGAGCAGGGGCAGGCGTGGGGGACGGCGGACGGATCGCAGAGAAACGCGGCAAAGGCCACGCTGCTCACCGGCGGTTGTTTTGAGAAATGTCATCGTTTTTCACCCGAGGTGTTACTTTTGTTAACACCTAGCGCGGCTGCTATTGTTGTCTTGGATACGCTTCGCACCGCTGCGCTCCGAGGACTCTCCCCCCAGCTGTGTCTGCTCAGGGGGCAGGTCCCGCCGCTGTGACACTGACTGACGTGGGGGGGGGCTCGGAGCCACCAGGCGCTGGGGGAGGGTGGTGCTGAGCAGCCCGCGAGCGCTTTCCGGGGACAGGGCTCCGGCCACGCCCCGGTGACGGCTGAGCCCGCCCCACGCCCCGGACGGGGCGGTGGGAGGCCTCCGACCTTTCCTCGCCGTCCCCAACCCGGCGGCCAGCGGGGTCCTGAGATTCTTACCGTTGCAAGAGCGTGAGAGTGGGCTTCCCCGGGTGGGGCAGGGGCGAGGTCAGGGCTCCGGCCCGGCAGGGGAATCCCAGGGAGAGCCGCCCCCACGTCTGTGGACTTGGGCGTGGGGCTGGAAGCTGCGGGGCGTGCAGAGGCCTGTGGCCTGGCCTTCTCAGGGCGGGTGGGGGAATCCAGCCTGTTCCAGAAGCGTCACAGGGAGATCCTGGTTGCTGGTCCAGAGGGGCCTGTGCCCGCCCCTCCTGGGGGCGGGGCTGGCTCCGGGCTGGGGCGGGGTCTGCCGCTGAGGGGCGGGCGGAGGGATCCCTGCCTGGGGGAGGCGAGGGCGGGTGTGGGAGAAGCAGCGTGTCCCAGGGCGACCCTGCTCGCTGCCATGGGGGCCGCCCACCCTCCCGAGGCTGCCCGCCTGTGGCGTGTCCCCTGGGGGGGCCGCTGGGGCCCTAGTGTGGGGTGCGGGCTGTGGCCGCCAGCGCCTGGCCGTGTGGAGGGCGCAGGGGTCGGCCCGGCGCACCCCTGACCGGCCGTCTGCCCGAAGGAGAACCACTGCCGGCGCATCAAGATCCTTGGGGACTGCTACTACTGCGTGTGCGGCCTGACCCAGCCCAAGAGCGACCACGCCCACTGCTGCGTGGAGATGGGCCTGGACATGATCGACACCATCACGTGAGTGCCCCGGGACGCCCCGCCTGCTCTGTCCTGGGCGGCCCCGCGGGAGCGACCACAGGGCCGCCGCCCACGCCCGGGTCTGCGTTGCAGGTCCGTGGCCGAGGCCACCGAGGTGGACCTGAACATGCGCGTGGGGCTGCACACGGGCCGGGTGCTCTGCGGCGTCCTGGGCCTGCGCAAGTGGCAGTACGACGTGTGGTCCAACGACGTGACCCTGGCCAACGTCATGGAGGCCGCGGGCCTGCCCGGGTACGTCGGGGCCCGAGGGAGGGGCTGGGACCGGGGCCTGTCCTCCCTTCAGCCACCGGCCAGGCTCCCAGGACGGGAAGGGGCTGGAGCGCGGGCCCCAGGAGGCCGGGCGCTGTCCGAGGTGCTGACCCCGGCCCTCGGTCTCCTCCTTTCCTTCCCGGGGCAGGGTCCACACCCCCGGGGGGCCTGCCCACCACACTCTCCAGCCACAGCCCCCGGCGCTGGCCTCACCGCCCCACACTGTGCACGAAGCCGAGGCGTGGCGCTCCCTAAAATCACGGAGAACAGGACGGGAGGGGGGCCGGATGCGCCCGTGGCAGCTGCAGGCGCCGGCTGTGGTGTCGAGAGTGACAGACGCCTGCACACCCACACTGTGGGGACTCGGGGAGACACCCTGGCCCTTGCTGCCTGCCTACGCCTTGCCGGACGCTGGGGCTGGGGCCTCCTGGCCTGGGAGCTCGGGGACAGGCTTGTGTCTCTGTCACCTCCCTGCCACTCCTTCCCCCACTTGCCCTGCTGTGCAGGCCTGGTGCTCTCCCTCCCCCCTCGGTGCCTCTCGTCCCCGCCGCAGCCATCCTGCAGTCCCTCCCTGCCTGTCCCCAGCGTTCCTCCTGCAGCTCGCCCCCGTCCGGCCGGGGACGCCTGTGCCACCTCCCACAGGACCTCTGCCCCCCCCCCGCCCCACCCCACGTGGGCCCCAGGCCCCGGGGCGGTCCCGCCGCGACTCCACGCTGCCCCCTGTCTGCAGGAAGGTGCACATCACCGAGGCGACGCTGGCGTGCCTGAACGGGGACTACGAGGTGGAGCCCGGCCACGGGCAGGAGAGGAACGGCTTCCTGAAGGCGCACAACATCAAGACCTTCTTCATCGTGCCCTCGCACCGGCGCAAGGTGCTGCCCCGCGGCGCGCCGCCCCTCCAGGCCGGGGCGACCCCCACGTCCCGTCCCGGGCCTGGCCTTGGCGTGTGTTGTGGGGAGGGGCCAGCACTCTGGGCCACCTCCGAGCCCTGGGACCTCCGTGCAGGGCCGTCCTTCGCCCCCCGCCCCCCCCCCGGGGCCTTCACTGCCTCTTGTGCAAAGCAGGTGCGAGCCCCCCGCAGGGGCCAGGCCTGGGGGACGCGTGGACAGAGGGTGCCGTGCACACGGCAGGGCCGGAGCCATCCTACATGGGGCACCCAAGGTCACCGCGCCCAGGGAGCGTGACGTGGGCAGGATCGGGGGCGACCAAGCCAGTTCCGGGGCTCGGGGGAGGGGCAGACGCCCCGCCCGCCCGGTGACGGCCACGCTGTGCGCGAGGAGCGTGAGCTCACGGCGCGTCTGCCGCGCCTGCGCAGATATTTCCGGGGCTGATCCTCTCGGACATAAAGCCGGCGAAGAGGATGAAGTTCAAGACCGTGTGCTACCTGCTGGTGCAGCTCATGCAGTGCCGCAAGATGTTCAAGGCCGAGATCCCCTTCTCCAACGTCATGACCTGCGAGGACGACGACAAGGTAGGGCGGCGCGCCCCGCGCCCTCCTTGGGGACGCCTCGCGCCGGCCCGCGGGTTTTCACGGCCCGGCACCCCTCGCACTCCCCGGGAAATCACGCTGAGATCCGCGCCGTTGCCCGAATCGGCCCTGGCCGTCCGTGCGTCAGGGGTCTGTCGCTCTGTCCCCTCGTACCCGCCCTGGGTCTCGGCAGAGCGGCCAGGGCTGCCCCTCCGCAGGGGGTGCGCGGGGCGCGTCTCTGGCCGTTGCCTTCCCCTGTGGGCTCCCGTCTGGTTGGTGGAGCTCGGCCTCCAGCGCCCACCGGGGCTCCCTCGGCAGGCGACCTGGTCTGCGGCCTGGCTGCCCGGGTTTCGGTGCTGGGGTCGGTCAGAGTCCCTGTTGGATCTGCTGGGCTCTGGTGGGGTCGGGGGCAGGGTCCCGGGGGAGAGCTGGGGGTTAAGTTGGGGTGCCCGTGGGGTCCCCGAGCGTCCATTCTAAGCACATATGCCTCGCGCCTGTGATCCTGGCCAGTGGCCCCAGTCCCCACCAGGGGACCCCCAGACCCTGAGGCAGACCCCCTGTGCCAGGCAGCCGGCGTGAGCGCTGGCCCCCACCACCACCGGGACAGCTGCTGCCCGTGTCCTGCCCATGGCACCGGGCTCGCCCCCAGCCCCTGCCTCGGCCCCAGGCCTGCCCCCCCCTCCCGCCTCGGAGTCCTGGGCTGCCCGCCCCCCCACCCCAGCCCCGCCCCTGAGGCTCTCTGCCTGCGGAAGGGATCTCAGCGCCAGGCTCCCGGGCTGTCCAGGGGGGAGGGAAGTCTGCAGACTCCCTTTGGCGGCGCACCGCCTCGGGGATCCGCGGCGGCTCTGGCCTCGAGCCGAGTTTGTGGGAACTCGGTCTGGAGGTGCCTTAAGTGCTGTGTGGGCGGCGAGGCCGTCAGCAGGTCGGCCTTCCCTCTGCCCGGCCCTGGGGCTCACACCACAGGCTGGGCTTGTGGTTTCTGGACGCCCCAGGAGTGCATGCGTGTGGGTTGGCAGCACCTGGGCCCCCGGCATGTCCGCGCGGGTGTGCCGACCGGGGATGGGAGCCTTGCCTCTCCTCTCGCCCCTCCCACCTGCGTCTTCCGCCCCGCCCCCCCAGGAGCACCTGGTGGTCTCAGGACCCGTGTACAGTAAATGTTTGTCAGGCGTGAGGACGAAGCCAGGCCCCGTCCCTCGCTCGTGGAGGCCCAGCTGCCGTGGCGCCGGGCGTGGAAGGGCTCGCAGGGGGCGGCCTCGGTGCCTCTGTCCCGACACCTGTCGGCTGGACTCGGGTGCGGCTCCGGAGGCCGTCTGGTCTGATCTGTCCTGTCCCCCAGGTCCATGTGTCTGTCCCTCAGGCAGCACCACGTGGTCTGGGCTCGTGTGGTTACATGATGTCTGAAACCAGCGGAGTGAGTCCTCCCACTTCTTCCTCTTAAGAAAAACGAGCGATTCCGGTCCCTTTCCTTTTCGCGTAACGTGTAGAATTAAGTGCATTCATGTACGAAACGGCCCCGCTGGGATCTGACGCGCTGCGTGGGGCCGGGGCGCGACCCACGGGGACAGTCGAGTGTGGAGCCGTCGGATCTGTGGACGTGGCGTGTCTGTCTCCCCACGAACCGCGATGGCCTTCGGCCTCTGCCCCGGGCTGTGGGGGCAGGTTCCGTGTGTGTTCTGTGGGAGTCGGGCCGAGCGTCCCGTCCTCTCGGTGACGGTGAGCGGCCCCGTGCCTCAGTGCCGGTGTCTGCCAGCGCGGTGCCGGTACAGAGAAACACCGCGTTCCCCCTCTGGTGTCTTGTCCCGTGCCCGGGGACCCGTGGGGCCCACTCGTCGGTTCCAGGAGTCCTGTGCTGTTTCGAACATTCCCTGGGATTTCCCATGGCCGTCACTTCCGTGGACGGGGCTGCCGTCTGCAGATAGGGATGGTTCTGGTTCTTTCTTTCTGACCCGCCAGCCTTGGGTTCCGTTTCCTTGTCTCACTGCCGTGGCCGGGGTCTGAGCCCCAGGCGAGCGGGAAGTGGGGGCAGAGAGGCCTTTCCCCGCCGACGGCTGGTGGCTGCAGGTGACCTTCTCCAGGCTGCGGGCGGGGGGGGGGGGCGCCCTCCGTTCCTAGTTTGCTGACCCGTGAAATCGCACACGGGTGTCGGATCTCGTCAGAAGCTTTCTCTGTGTCGTGACGTCGCGGTGGGAGCTCTCTCCTTTGTTCAACCTGCTGGTTCTGGGGGCGGCACTGGCGTGCGTGAACCAGGCCGGCATCTCCGGGAGCGGGTGTGGCGCGTGCCGCTGGTCGCAGACTGCTGGGTTCCGCCGGCGAGGGTCGCGTTAAGGGCTCCCGCACCTGCACTCACAACGGATACGACGGGACTGTAGGGATCCTTTCCGTCTGGTTAACACGGACGACGGGAAGTGAATCGGGAACGGCTCCCTGGGCGACGGGAGTCCATTCCCCTTCAAACGTTTGGGGGAATTCTCCACGGGAACCCTCTGGGCCTGGAGGTTGCTTTCCCAGGAAGTTAAAATTATGATTCCTTTCCTTTCGTGATTATAGGGCTGTTCAGACTCTCTGTCGCGTTGGGTGACGTGCAGGACAGTGGCTTGTGTGTCTGCCGGCAGCGCTGTCTGTGGATGTCCCTCTCACCCCCTCGTGGCCGTGGGGCCCGAGATTACTTCCGCCTCCTACGTTTGTTGGTGTCTTTTGCTTCATCGCTTTGCTGGGAGTTGTCAACTTCACCGACATTTTCAAAGAACCAGCTGTGGTTTCATTGCTCTGTGCTGGGCGCCGGCCCCCACTGTGCCCGTGTGGGGTCCTGTCCCCACGGGGTCCTACACGGTTGCCGTGTAGCCCCCGTCACCGATGATGCAGTGCCTCACCTGGGTTGTCACCGCCAGCAGGTGGTGCAGCCACGACCGCACCGCAGGCCCCAAACCCGCCCGAGGCCGGCTGGCGCTGGGCGTGGGAGCGGTGGGTGGGGGGGTGCGCGCCGAGAGCCCCTCCTTGGGAACGCGGTGACCTGACGGCGGCCCTTTCCTTCCCGACGGCTGCAGCGCCGGGCCCTGAGAACAGCCTCGGAGAAGCTCCGGAACCGCCTGTCCTTCTGCGCCAATGCCGCCCAGGCCGCCCCTGGCACCCGCGTCAACAGGTACATCGGCCGCCTCCTGGAAGCGCGCCAGACGGAGCTAGAGACGGCGGACCTGGGCCTGTTCACCCTCCAGTACAAGCAGGCCGAGCGGGAGCGGAAGGTGGGGGACCGGCGCAGGGCGGCCGGGTGTGGGGGCCCCTCTTCCCGCGGCGGCCGGCCCCTGGGGCCTCAGGGACGGCCGTGCTGACGCCCCGGCTCTGCCCGCAGTACCACCAGCTGCAGGACGAGTCCTTCACCAGCGCCGTGGTGCTCGCCCTGGTCCTGGCCGCCCTGTTCGGCCTCGTCTACCTTCTGATAATCCCGCAGTGAGTGCGCGCCCGCGGCGTTGGGCCGGGCGGGGTGGGCGGCGCTGGGAGGGCCTCTCCCTTAGGTTTAGGGAGCCCCCCATGAGCCCCCCATCCCCTGCATTCAGGGGCAGCACTGACTCTCCGGCTCTCCCCCGACCCTGGACCCGGGCTGTCCAGGCTGATGGCCGGGGTAGGGCCGTTCCCGCTCAGGGGCAAATTTCCAGGCCCGCCACTCCGGGGCACCGAAGATCCCCGCGTCCCGGTCCACACGCAGACACCATTGCCTCGGCTTCCGGGGGGGGGGAACCTCACAGGGCAGCCGTGGGCGGCTTGGTTTCTGGGTGCGTGACACTTCCAGAGGCACTGCAGAGAGAGAGTGGCCTCTGAGGAGGAAGAAAAGCCCAGTGATTTTAAGAACATGTGATCGGCCCTGGCTGGTGTGGCTCCGTGTGCTGAGTGCTGGCCTGCAAACTGAAGGGTCGCCGGTTCGATTCCCAGTCGGGGCACATGCCTAGGTTGCGGGCCAATTCCCCAGTAGGGGGCAAGCATGAGGCAGCTTTCTCTTTAAAAAGAAAAAGAACAGGTAATTGTCATGCCTTGCAGCGAGGAAGACCCAGAAAACTCCCACTTTTGCTTACACACTGCGTTTTCCCGATGGAGCCCCTGGGGCGGAGTACTCCCCCTTTCTCCTCTGAGTTTCCAGGAAGGGCATCGTCCGGCCCCACACCCTGCCCACACTGCCAGCACTCTGCAGCCCGCACCCCGGGGGGCCCCCCAGGGCTCAGGCTTGTCCTGGGAGAGCCGCTCCCAGACGAAGCCCAGGCCGTGCTCAGCTGAGTCCTCAGGGCTGCCCCTTCCTCGCAGACGCCCGGGGGGCGCTGTCCTGGATGGGGACCAGCCCGCATGTGTCCCCCGGGGCCGATGCTGCTGCTGCTTCCTGGGGGCAGACTCCCAGGCAGCCCCCGGACACAGCTCTCCAGGCCCCGCCCGCAGGGCCACCTGTCCTCTGTCCTAGGAGTCTGGCCGTCCTGCTCCTGCTGGTGTTTTGCATCTGCTTCTTGGTGGCCTGTGTCCTGTACCTGCACATCACCCGGGTCCAGGTATGTGTGTGCATGTGTCCTGTGCCTGCGCCTCACCTGGTCCAGGTGTGTGTGTCTGTATCTGCGCCTCACCTGGCCCAGGTGTGTGTCCTGTATGTGCTCCTCACCTGGTCCTGGTGTGTGTGTCCTGTATCTGTGCCTCACCTGGACAGGTACGTTTGTGGTCTCCGCCGGCCCTCACGGCAGGACAGGTGGGGTCGTGCAGGTGTTGGTCCGCTCTCCGTTCTCCTGGCGGGGAGAAAGTGTGGCTTGGGCAGTGGGAGCTCACTGAGCCCGCCGTGTCCTGGGTGCCGTGTGGAGGCCGAGGCGCAGGGGCGGGTGACCGAGGGGAACTGGGCAGATGAGCACAAGGGTCAGTGTTATTCCGGGGCGGAGAGCCCCTTGGGGATGGGGGCTCGAGCACCGGCTTGTCACGTGTTGGTGCCATAGACTGCGCGGCCCCCACGGCTTCACTGGCGTCCACTGGGGAGCCCAGGCCAACGGCATCTGAGCCCTGGGGGCGCGGGTGGCTGTGGGAGGGCCTCTGTCCCCACACTCCCGCCCCCTGATTTCACTGCCACCGCCCCGCTGCCCCCAGCCTGTCCGGCAGACCCAGGGCTGTTTTCTGCACGGGCTAGAACCAGCAGCTCCTTGGAAAATTAGATCTAGTTTTCCTCACGGACACTGGTCTCTGTTCCTAGGTAACCTCTTGCCTTTTTTAATTAAAAAATGCTGTTTACTCAAACCACATTCCAGCCCTTTGACTGTCGTGGGTGGAGTGACAGTCGGTTTGGTGAACCGAGATTTCCCATATCGGACGAGAGCACTGTACGTGCCCTTACACTTCTGTGCTCAGCTCGGGAGTCCCCCCGGGGCCCGTGCCGTCCGCCTGGGCTCCACAGTGGACGACACTGTGGGGTCCACAGGGAAGGCTGTGGGGTGTGGATGGACAGCAGGGCGGGGCTGGGAGGGGTGGGGGTCACGCCGTGCAGCAGAGGCCCGGTGCGTGCCCAGGAGGCTGTGCTTACAGGGCTCCCCGGTTCCCGGGAGGGGGGTGCGCCGTGGCCTGGGGGCGGCTGGTGTGCTCCTGGGACGGCCCCCTCTTCGCAGCCAGGCTTGGCGGCCACAGTGGCCTTTCAGCTTTGAGTTTCCATCACCCCCTGCACCCGCCGGGGTCCTGAGCCAGGCAGGGGGGAGGAGGGTGGGGGTCCCGCTGTGAACTTCTTGCCCCCCTGCAGCACGTCTCCCCCAAGGCAGCGGCCCTGACCCGAGCTCCTCAGGCCCCAGTGCCGGGGGCGCTGTGGCTGTGGCGTCGCCCGTGGGGCTCGAACCCAGCTGCCCCGTGGCGTCACTGCAACAGTGTCGGCCACGTTAGGGCTGACCATCCACGGTGTGGTCTCTGCTCTCGTCTTATTTCCAGTTTCCAGAGTGTGAGTCTGGAAAAAACCTCTGACTTTTATCCATGGCATGGTTGACTCTTGAAAAGTGCATTTAAAATAAAATCTCAAAGAGCATAAAAGTTAGACAATTTGTATAGTTTGTGTGAAGGAAATGGTGACCCTTACTTGAGCGTGAAGACAGCAGTGAGTGGAAACTCGCACCGCGTGTGGGGTAGGACTCACCTTAGAGGAGGACAGACGGGGGGACCCCGTTCAGTCGATTTCGGTGCCGAAGTCACAATGGGGAGGACGGGAGGGGGGCGCGTTGCTCTTTTCAATGTAAAGATAGGAGGGTTTTCAGCAAGTTTTTCACCTGGGAGATGAAAACTAAGAAAACAGCCAAACACACGGGGAGGGAGGGGGAGTGGCGGCCGAGACCCCGGCAGCACCGAGGGCGCTGCGCGCCCCTCCCCGTGCCTGAACCCACGTTGCGCGGTCAGTGTCTCCCAGGCTGCCTGACCATCCGGATCCGCACGGCGCTGTGCGTGTGCGTCGTCGTCCTGGTCTACGCCGTGGCCCAGGGATGCGTGGTGAGCACGGCGGCGTCCCCGCGGGGCTGGGTGCGGGGAGCCGGGCGGTGCGGGGGTGGGGGGGCCCCCGTGGAGAGCGGGAGGTTGGATGTGGGGGATCAGACCGGCCTGGGGGTGCTGAGGAAGCGGGGGTGGGGGCACTTCATCCGGCAGAAGAAACGCACTCTCCCCCCTGCGGAGGGAGACCCTCCCTCTGCAGTGAGCCAACGAGGGCAGAAGAGGCGGCGGAGGAACAAGGGGGCGGAGGAACAAGGGGGCGGGGCGTTGTAAAGCTGCTGGCTCCTGGGCCCGTGGGTTTGCCGGTGCTGCAGGGGGCTGGGGAGGAGGGGCCGCTGCCGTCTTGAGTGAGCCCCTGCCCTGCGCCTCGCCCTCCATCCCCCTCCAGGTGGGCTGCCTGCCCTGGGCCTGGAGCTCCAGTCCCAACGGGTCCCTGGTGGTCCTGTCGCCCGGAGGCGGGAGCGCAGCGCCGCCCGCGTCGCCCTGCGAGGCGGCGCCCCACGCCCTGCTCTGCGGCCTCGTGGGCACGCTCCCGCTCACCATCTTCCTGCGGGTCTCCTCCCTGCCCAAGCTGGTCCTGCTGGCCGTGCTCAGCGCGTCCCACGTCCTGGTGCTGGAGCTCAGCGGGTGCTCCGAGGCCGCGGGGTAGGCGAACCACTCCCCCCGGGACAGACCTGCGGGGGGCCGGGGCGTCTGGGCCGAGGGCTCCGTGCTCCGGTGGCTGGTTGGGGCTTTTGGCTGGGGCTTCCGCACTTCGGCCCCAGGTTCGGTCGGGAAGGCCTCCGGGTCCGGGGACACTGGTTCGGCTCGGGTCAGCCCCAGGGGTCGAGGCAGGGGTCATGTGAGGGGCGCTCTCTGGACGTGGCTGGTGTCACGTGATGGAGGCAGCTGACTGGGTCTCCCTCTCGTCTCCCCCAAGGGGCGGCGCTGGCCCCGCACGCAGCTTCGAGCCGGTCCTGGCGATCCTGCTGTTCTCGTGCACGCTGGCCCTGCACGCCCGGCAGGTGGACGTCAAGCTGCGGCTGGACTACCTGTGGGCCGCACAGGCAAGACTCGCCCTTCCGCTTCCTGGGGGGGCGGGGCAGGTGCGGGATCCTGGCTGGATGCCAGCCAGCTGTGAAGGCTGCGCCATCGGCATGGGCAGTGGGACCAGGACCAGGGGCGGGGTGGGGGTGGGGAGACGACACAGCAGGGCTGGAGGGACGGCTTGGGTGACCCCTTCTGAGGGTCTGAGTTTGGTGGTTCTGTGAGTAATGAGTTCCCCATCCCCAGTGGCATTCAAGCAACCACTTGTCTCTTTTCTGTAGACAACTGCCTGGGGCCAGTGGGACCCAAGGGAGGGCTTATGTGGTGGGAAGGGCTCTGTGGACACCTGGTCCCCAGAGGAGGCAGAGAGGGGCCCTGGAAATGGGGCGAAGCTCCCCATTGTCTGTCCTTTGAAAGTTCCGGCAGACTGGGTAGTGACTTCCCCAGAAAGTCACGAGTCCTGTGGGTGGGCGTCCCCTCAGTCTGTGTGTCTGTGGGCTTGGGGCTGGGACGGGCCCGGCGTGGGCCCTCGGTGTCTCCGCGTTCGGTTCGTGACGAGAAGGGAGCGTGTGTGCGCGCCGTCGGTGCAGGTGCAGGTGCAGGTGCAGCTGCAGCTGCTCAGCGGACACGGCACGCACAGGTCCCGTTAGACGTGCCGAAGCAGACGTTCAGGACGCGAGTGACAGCGCAGGGGCCCCTGGGGGTGGGGGGCGAGGGGGCTCAGCCCCAGATGTGCAGGGAGAGGGGTTCAGCCAGGAGCAGGTGGGGCGGGCAGACGGAAGCTCACAGGGTGGGCACATCGGGTGAGGGGGAGTTCGGGCTGAGCCGCCGTAACATGTACCTGCTGCGCCCAGCCCGGTGGTCCGGTGTCCCCGGGAGGGTGGCCTCTCGGGGGTCCCGTGTGGTCAGACACGAGGGACGGGCCCGGCTGAGCCGGTGGGTGGGCAGGGGTGCCCCCAGGTCAGGCCCCGGCCGGGAAGGGGGCCGCGGGTGTGGCCACGCGGGGCGCCGAGTGAGCCGGCCGCGCCCCCCGCAGGCGGAGGAGGAGAGGGACGACATGGAGCGCGTGAAGCTGGACAACCGGAGGATCCTCTTCAACCTGCTGCCCGCCCACGTCGCCCAGCACTTCCTCATGTCCAACCCCCGCAACATGGTGAGTGCGGCCGCCGCGCCCGGGGCCCGGCCCGAGGGCCGGCCCAGCGGCCCTCCCGCTCCTCACCTGCTCAGAGTCCGGCCGAGGTCGGGGTCCCCGTGGCCACCCCCAAGGGCGGGAGGGCTGGGCTGTCGGGAAGGCACAGGACAGACGAGGTGCCCAGAGTGGTGGCTGCCCTCGGACCCGGGAGAGCGCACAGAGTCCCTCGTCCCCGAGGAGGGAGGGGGGACGGCGGATTCCGCAGCTGGCATGCGGGCTGCTTGGGCTGGTCGGAACTTCCCCGGCCGCACCGCCCAGCGGGGCTCCGGGGCCGCCGGGCTGCGGGGCAAGGCGGACGAACGCGGGTTCGAGAGGAAAGAGGCTTGGCCAGTGTTCTGACTCCCGAGGCAGCGGCCCCAGGGGTCAGCCTGGCCGGAGTGGCCTGGAGTAGCTCCCGGGCTCCATCTCGGGCCGCGGGCCACAGAGGCTGCCCCCCTCACTCTGCTCTGCCCCGGCCCTGCAGCTGACCTGACCTCTGCCCCCGACCCGACCTCTGCCCCCAGGACCTCTACTACCAGTCATACTCCCAGGTGGGCGTCATGTTCGCGTCCATCCCCAACTTCAACGACTTCTACATCGAGCTGGACGGCAACAACATGGGCGTGGAGTGTCTGCGGCTGCTCAATGAGATCATCGCCGACTTCGACGAGGTGGGGGTGGCCGGGACCCTGGCATCAGGGCTGGGCGGGACCCCCTCCTCCCTGGGCGGGGTCCATCTGGGCTGGGCGGAGGCCCCCTCCTCCGCAGCTGGGCCCCTGCCCCGGGAGGGACAGGAGGGAGGAGCACGTGTGCCCGTGTCCTTGGGTCCTGACAGGACGGGGTGGGGGGGTGGGGCCGCTGGGTGGGCCCCGGGCTGTGAGGCTGGCCCCGCGCATCTGTCCCTCACGCTGGGGGGTCGGGGGGGCGTGGGCCGGAGCTCGGGCCGTTCCGGCGGTGCCCCTGGCTCCTCCTCCTCGGGCCTTCGCAGGAGCCCCTCTCCCTGCGTTTCTTGGCTCAGCCCAGACCTGGCCTGGCGCCCAGAGCGAGGGAGACACGGGGCCCAGCGGTGGCTCCTGTGTCCTGTGGTCACGACGACCTGTCTAAAATGTAATGTAACGTTGAACAGTTTTTGTTTCCAACAAGCTCATGGACAAGGACTTTTACCGGGACCTGGAGAAGATCAAGACCATCGGTAGCACCTACATGGCTGCAGCAGGGCTGGCGCCCGAGGCTGGGGCCAAGGTGGGTGCCACCCGGGAGCCCCGCTCAGGGCTGTCCCCGCCCCACCCCCAGCCACCCCGGGGCCCTGGACAGGCCTCTGCTCTGGGCCTTGGCCTGTCCTCTGCGTGGGGTTAAGGCGGAGGCCAGCGGGCCGCCCTGCCAGCGGCCAGCTCGCTCCAGACACAACCTCCTTTGGAAGGTCAGCACGGGGTGGGGGGCCGGTCTCGGGGGCTTCCCCACAGTCCTGCCCTTTCCCGCCAGCCCACGCCCACCGAGTGTCCCCCTGCCCCAGCGCAGAATTGGGCACAGAGTTCTCCAGCTGTCCCTTGAAAAAAAAAGCGGAAAGAGGGAGATGCGAAAAGAGGACGCAGTGAGTGGACAACGGTGACAGAAGTGGCAGGTGCTCGCCCAGTCACACCAGCGACCGCTCTAAACGGGCGTGGCAAGTGCGCCCACGCAGAGGCAGGCTGCCAGAGCGGCTGCAGAAGTACCCAGCCGGGCTTCCCACGAGAAACGCACTTTACAGGGACACACAGAGACATGTTAGAAACGAAAGGCTGTGGGCAGCGCGTGTAGACGAAGGAGCGTCGTCAGAGAGAGGACAGTGGAGACGCCACTCCGAGACGTAACGGTCTCAGTGTGTTTGCACTTGGCAGAGAGTCTGACAGGACGCGGGCGGGACAGCGGCGGAGCTGCTGCAGCTGGCAGCAGTGGTGCTGGGAGGGTCCCGGGGGCGGAGCATCAGCAGGGGGCGGAGCATCGGCAGGGGAGCCGAGCTAGTGAGTTTGCTGCTGCGCCGGGGGCGGAGCATCGGCGGGGGGCGGGGCGTCAGCTGGGAGGCCGAGCGTCAGCAGGGGGAGCCGAGCTAGTGAGAGAGCACGGCGCGAGGTGGGGGGATGCAAGGGCGACCTAGGACGGTCGGCGGCTTTCCCGCACACCGGGAACGAACAAGTGGAATTTGAAATAAAAACACTCTCTACTCACGCACGGCCCGTAAGTGAACAGCAGACGTAAATCTAAAGTTGCGTGCGAGGGCCCCAGGAGGAGGCCTGTGAAACTGCGGCGACGAAGGGTCTTCTCCCCGCAGAGGGGGCTCCACGCTGCGGACGCGCGATGGGGCCCCGGGCTGATCTGCGGGGTCCGGGGGGGGGGGGGGGTCCCAGCAGGGACGTCAGCCCGCGGGGCCGGAGTTCGGGAGGAGCGGGAAGACGCGGCACACGGGGGCCGTCCCCACGACACTGGAGGACAGCCCGGGAGGACAGGAGTGGGGTGGAGGGCCCACCCGACCCGACCCTGGGACTCACAGGAAGCGAGTCTGCGCGGCTGCCGAGGAGAGAGGAGACCGGGGTCGGGGGAGGGGCGGGGAGCCCCGAGCTGGACCCCGTGAGAGCAGTCGAAGGAGCGGGTGGAGCCGAGAGAGACTTTCCACTGGACGGCGCTGGAGCCGCTGGACGTCCGTCCGTCCGTCCGTGTCTGTAACCTCAGCACCAGTCTAGTCTCAGCAATGCGTCCCATCCACACGCAGACTTGGACTCCTCACATGAATTAGCCCCAAATGGATCCTAGACCGAAATGCAGAGTGGAACACGGGAGAACCCAGGGGAGACACCAGACAACCGCGGGGACTTGGGGTCGCCCCGAGGCGCCGCATCGCGGGCGCGGCCCATGACTCAGGACGTGGGCCGGCTGGACCCAGCCGAAAACTCGGAGCTCCGATCTGTGGGAAACACTGTGACGCGGAGACGAGCCGCCGACCGAGAGAGGTGTCTCCAAGTGGAACCGGTCTGCGTGACACAGTTGTGCACACGGTGGTCAAGACCCGTGGAACGCACGGCGCGTAGTAGGGCGACGCCTAGAGCGCACTGTGGCCTGCGGCCGGCGCTGGTGCGTCGGAAGTCTCTGGTGAATCGGTGGCGGTAACGAGCGTTGCTGTGTGTCAGGAGTTAACGAGGGCGTGGGGGCGGGGGGTCTTGGTGCTGTGGCCTCAGTTATCTGCAAATCTGACACTGGTCTGAAAGCTGTTAGTTAATTTTTTTAAAAAAAGCATTAGTTCCCTAAATTTGAGGCTGGTAAAATATCCTTTAAAAAAGAAAAGTGAGAAATCTTGGCATCTCTAAAACCACGTAGAGTTGTCGCCGTGTCAGAAAAGAGAGGACACTTCCCCACCAGGGAAGGGTGGCCGGCTCAGTCCCGTGTGTGTGTGTGTGGGGGGGGTGCCTACCTGTTTCCCTTGTCCACAGCCTGGTGACAGCGTCGTCCTGGCAGCACCTGGGACACCTGGTGCCCACTCGCAGGGGCCGCCCGCTGGGCTGCGAGGGGCAGGCCTGGGCTGCGCTGGCTTCTGTCTCAGCTTCCTGCCCGTCCAGGGGCGGCTCCGGGTGTCCCCCCGGAGCTGGGAGGGGGAGCTCAAACCCCCGGCAAAGACCAGCCTGCTGCCCCCAGGGGCGCAGGAACGGGCCGAGGTTGGGGGGCTGCCGTGCTGATGTGGGGTCCTTGGTGCCACCAGGGCCGTAGGCCGGGCCCCCCACACCCAGCAGCTGCCCTGCGGGGTGGCCGCACCCCCCGCTCCTCGTTCCCCCAAACGTGATGCCCGTGTCTGCTCACGTCCAGGCTAAGAAGTCCGTCTCCTCCCACCTCAGCACGCTGGCGGACTTCGCCATCGAGATGTTCGGCGTCCTGGACGAGATCAACCGCCAGTCCTACAATGACTTCGTGCTCCGCGTGGGTGCGTGCCCGCGGCCTTCCCGCCGCTGGGCCGGCTCCGCCTTCAGGCACCGGCTCCGGGGGCGTGGTTGGGCCCTGCCCCTGGGAGAGGGCGAGCTGATACGGGAAGGCGACCCCCTGGCCTGTGAAGCCAAGGGGCTTTCGCCCCCTCAGAGCGTCCTGGGGTGCTGTGACCCATCCTGGGCCCCGTACCCGAAGCAGCCGTGAGGTCCCACCTGGGGGTGCAGGCAGGGTCCCACCCAGGGGGGCACAGGAGCTCCCACAGACGAGGGGTCAGTCTTCCGTGGCCAGAGTCCGTGCGGTGGCTGGCGCTGTTCTCGGGGTCAGGACGGCGAGGGTTGGGGTTAGGAGGTGGTGGTCCTGCGTTAGGAAGGGGTGCCGTGCCAGGTGGTCCCCGGAACCTGCGACCTGGAAGGGGCGGCACGCCCCCTGGCAGCCGCTCTGGGACCCCCGTGGTGCTTGTCTTCCAGGCATCAATGTCGGCCCCGTGGTGGCTGGCGTGATCGGGGCCCGCCGGCCGCAGTACGACATCTGGGGGAACACCGTGAACGTGGCCAGTCGGATGGACAGCACCGGTGTCCCCGGCAGGATCCAGGTCAGCCGCCCCGGTCCCCGAGGCGCAGGCCCCAGGCCTTCCGGGGACGAGGGTGTCCTCCCTCCCGGGGAGGGGGGGGCAGAGAGCCCGCCCCTCCCGCCTGTGGGCCCAGCCGCCGCTCTCCCCCCCCTGCAGGTGACGGAGGAGGTGCAGCGGCTGCTCGGGCAGGGCGCCTACCACTTCCTGTGCCGCGGCAAGGTCAGCGTCAAGGGCAAGGGCGAGATGCTGACCTACTTCCTGGAAGGCAGACAGGACGCAAACGGCTCGCACACCAGGCCCCTGGCCTCTGAGCGGAACATGCGTCCTTGTGGGAGAGCCGGCCCCCAGACCAGACTGGCTGCGGGCCGTCCCCCGGTGGCCCCCGTGGTTGGCCGCCCGGTTGGTGGTGGGCCGGGGGCGCGGCAGGGCTCAGGGCTCACCGCCCGGCCCCCTGACCCGCACCCACCCCCAGGAGCAGCTGGGAAGGAGGCTTAGGGGAGCCGTGCTGGCCGCTGGGGGCACAGGGCCCATGCTTGGGGCTTCCATCACTCCAGTAGGACCAGCCCGGCCAGTGGAGCGGAGCGGGGCTGGGCCGGCCGCCAGGCTGGGGCGGGGGCCAGCCCCACCAGCGCAGACACGGGGCTGCTCCACCCTGTCCTCATGGCAGGGCAGGGCGGGGGCTGGCCGCCCAGGCCGGGCAGGCGAGTGCAGGGCTGCAGGCTCCCAGGGGAGCAGCCTGGAGTGGCCGGGAACGAGGCCTGGGACCAGGCCCAGAGCCGCTGGGCCCCGGACAGACGGCCTGGGGAGGCCGGGGAGCCTGGGCCTGCGGCCCGGGGTGGGGGCTGCTGGCCCCTTTTAAGAATCACTTTTTGCCAAGAGCCAGAGGCCGGTCCCCTGCGGCCACATCCCTGCCTTGTGACCAGTGCGTCCCGGTCGCGTGGGCCGTCCCCCGGCTCCGTCCTGCTCACCGTGCTGGTGGGTCGGCGTGGCCCTCACTTCCTGGGTGGCCTCTCGGGGTCCTGCGCGTGGACTGGGGGTGCGCGGCGTCGCTGACTCTGGAAACAGGTGGCACTCACGGCCGGAGGAGCTTCCTTGTCTGAAGGTGTTTCTGGGGCGGAACCAGCCGCCCGGGACGTGGTCTCAGCCGTAGAACTGGGTCCCCTGCGGCCAGCAGGGCCAGTGTCTACTTCCAGGAAGTGGGTGGGTCTGCGGGCGTGGGGCGTGGTCTTCCATGTGGGGAGACAGGCCGTGGCCCCCGAGTTGGGCTGTGCTGTCGCAGACGGGGGGCACTTTGCAGAGGGAGTGGTGGGTGTGGCTGTGCAGTGGGGAGGCCCCACTCTCCAGGGGGCCCCTGCGACCTTGTGTCCCCCTAGAGGTCGGGGAGGTCAGCAGAGTTGTCAAGGCAGGTCACAGGTGAGTGGACGCAGGGGGTGGGAGGTGAGGATGCCCAACCACTGGCGTTGGGGCAGCGGGGGTCACCCCCCAACCCAGCGAGTGGGGACAGAGGCCTGTATGAGAGCCACACACCAGACGCACCAGGAGTCCTGTGAGAGTCTCAGCTGTGCCCACGCATGCCGGGGCCCCGGTCCGCAGACCACCCGTGTGCAGAGCTGGGAGACACCGGTAGCTGCGCCAGACCGTGAGGTCCCCGGGAGCCGCCCCTCCTCCACGGGCAAGGCCACTGCTTCCTGGGACACGGGGGTGGGGGGGGCAGCCTCACCTGAGCGGGAGGCACCTCTTTCTGGTTCGTGATGAGACTGTCGTGTTGCCTTATTTACTTTTAATCTCGTACAATATCCACGCACAAACGTTAGGGCCTTCGAGTGGGATCCTCCAACACTCTGTAAATAGCGCCCCGGGAGCTGGGGCCGCCCGCCGGCCCCGCCAGCACGGAGGAGAGCCGCCCAGTGCGTTTCTAGCGCCTCTCACCCCGCTCGGCAGTGCCCCGCCCCCGGAGCGGTCCCCTGCCCCCGCATGCCCCCGCATGCCCGTGCCCGCCCGCAGCAGAGCAGAACACGGCCCCGAACTCCCGGCCCCTCGGTGGCATCTGCACCGCAGACCCAGCCGGCTGGACCTGACCTGTCCGCCAGGCGCCAAAGCCACCAGGGCTGCCAGGCGCCTGGTGTCGCCGGAAGCAATAACTAACTCTATCTAAACGCAGAGACAAGTCTGGCCCGAGCAGACGGCTGCCTCAGAGACAGGCTGCGTGTGTTGGTTGGCCAGAAGGAGGGCGCTGTGGGGCGACACCCCAGCCTCCCGGCCGCCCCGCGCGCCCGTCTCGGGCAGCCCCTCTCTGGGGCTGGCCGTCTGCACCGGGCTCGGGAGCCCCAGCCGGGTGGTCCCCGGGGCTGTCCCTCCGGCCAAGATGCCCGTCTCCGTGGTAAACAGGCTGCTGTGGGCCCCGGGCGTCCCGACCCCCATTCCCGTCCCCTCACAGAATACCGTGCCGTCCTCACGGCCACCTTGAGGCAGCCTCCTGCTTCTGCTGCCGCTCCAGCAGGATGGGTGGGCCAGCCCGGACTTGGGGGTCTCCCCAGGACCCGTCTCGCTTCCATCTGCGCCCCCTCCTTCTGCACCGCGAGTCCCCGTGACCCCGAGTCACAGGTCCTGCCCGAGACACGCGTGCATGGCTTGTGAGCAGACGGGGCGGACCACAAGGTCGCCGTGGCAGCTTTGACCTTGAAAACGAGCAGACCAGCGGGTTCCAAGGCAGTGACTCCCAGACATGGACTTCCCCCGTGTCGTACTGGTTTCCACTAAAAACAAAAAACCCCAACATAAGTAAAGAAACAAAAGACTCAACCTTACCAGAGGCGGTGGGTCTGGAAATAGCGGTTTGGGGTCAGCAAGGAGCAGGCGCCGTGGCTGGAGGCCGAGGGCGTGCGGTGTCCCTGGGCCTGGATGCCCGTTTCTGGTGGCTGGAGGCTCTGGGGGTCCCTGCGGCCGCTGGGACCCTTCAACACTCCAGGTCTTGCAGCCGGTGGGCCGTGAGCAGTGTGGCGTTTTCTCCTGGGGCGTCTCGGGCCGTGGGCGGGGGCCGCATGGGGGCCCCGAGCTGCTGGCCTGTGTGTCCAAGGCCAACAGCAGGGACTCAGGCATCCACAGGTGGACAGCACAGTGTCCACCCTCACGTGACACAGGCTGTGAGGACAGAGCAGGGCCGGGTGCCTGCGGCTGGCGCAGTGGGCACTGGGGCAGTCAGGTCGCCGTGACCTCCGTGGGCCCTGGCACCTCCACACCCTCCAAATCGCACCTGAACCAGGTGGGCTGAGGCCAGTCTCCCAGCTGGACCCAGCCCCCGAGGAGGGCTGGTAGGGGGTGGGACAGGGCCTAAAGACCCCCGGCCGGAGGGCATGAGGGGCTCCGTGGGGCTCAGCTGGAGGGGAGACAGGTCTTCCCAGGCTGGGGCGGAGCCGGGAGCCTGGGTGGGGTTTTCTGTGAGCCGGTGGGCGGAGCTGAGTGTGGATCTGGAGATGGCGTGGACCCCGAGTGGGCGGGACCAGGGCGGAGGGGTCGGGGCTGGAGTGGCCAGCAGGGCAGCTGGTCGGACCAGCTCCAGCAGCTGTGACCTGACTTAGATTCCCCCTCCGAAAGTATCGGGGGCCCCGCGGGCACAGCCCTAGACAGCCACCCGCACGGGGGTGCCCCGACCTCATACTTCCCATACGTCCCCCCTCCTCCCGTGGCAGGGCCCCCAGGTGCAGGTGGCGGGCTGGTCCCCACAGCCCACACTGGGCATGCCGCAGGCGCGGCCCCACAGCACGAGGCCCCACGCGGGGAGGTGGGGCCGTGTCCCAAGGGCTGAGCCCCGTCCCGCCGCTAACGACAGGTCCCTTAGGATGGAGCACGTTCAGCCCGGAATCCCCCTCCCATGTCTGGCCCCACTTTCTGTCCGGACCCAAGTCCTAGGGCGCAGCCCGCCCCTGCCCAAGGAAACCCTGTCTGCAAGGCCCGCCGGACAGACATCGGACGCGGCAGAAGGGGGTCCGCAGGTGCCCCCACATCACACACACCTCTCCAGTCCCCGGAACCCAGCCCCGCGCCTGGCCAGAGCCACCCCGTGTCCCTGTCACCTTGCAGGCCGGGGGTGGGTGGTCAGTGCTCCTTCCCGGCGCCAGAGGTGGTCTGAGAGCAGGGAGTTCCAGGGGCCGCGAGCCTCTGCCCCTCCCCCGGGCCCGAGCCCCGTGGTCCCCGCGGCTCAGGCCGCAGGGATTTGGCTTGCGATGCAGACTCTCACCGAGAATCGATGCTGAAACGGAGGTGACCTGGACCGGCCCGGGGGGTGGGTCCGGCCCTCCGGGCTCCCCAGGCGCGTGTGGGCGGTGAGCGGGAGCAGCCGCCCGGGCTCCTGCGCAGCCAGACTCGTCTCTTGCCTCCCACCAGCACCCCACACGGCCCCAGCACGAAGCACACACGTCTCAGGGGACTGTCCCCCCAACCCGGGAGCCCCGAGGGAGCCCCGTGGCCTCTGCCACGTGCAGCGGGCGTCCCGCTCCTGGCACCGTCCTGCCCAGGGGAGCGGTTTTGCCTTCGTCCCTGTGAAAACCGTGCACACCGAAGCCATTCGCACACGGGCTGCATGCCGTGACGTCCCCGAGTGTGTGGTTTTAGTTTGCGTTCGGAATCACACAGCATGCACAGCAAAGGGCCGTCTGCTGGCTGGCCGCAGAGCGCCCCCGAGAGGGCGGGGCCCGGAGCCCAGGCCCGCCCACACGCCCGCCCCGTGCACACTGGTCGCACACGCGAGCACGCGGAATGTCCCCGCCCCTTCGCGGTGGGCCCCGCTCACCCCGCTGCGGTGAGGCCCGTGTCCGCTGCGGGCCGTCCGTCCTCCGTGGGAACAGGGTGCCGTCTGGGTCCCTGTAGGGGGCCGTTCCTCCGCGGCCGCAGAGCGGCGGCTCGGGCGCGGCCTCCCACCGGGACAGCGCTGCGAGGCGCGCACACAGACGCCGCCGGAACGACGGCTCGATGCCACCTTCTCGCGACAGGTGTGTACGATCAATACGGGTCTATTTTTACGTCAGCAGAACACTGTAGAGCACCTTCCAGTCTTTTCCGAGGTTGTCACGCCGAGACGAGTCCTTGAATAACCTGTCCTATTTTTATTTCAAAAACACGCGAATGGACTGAACTGTTACATGTGAATGTACGTTTCTTAATTGCAACTTTTCTACTGAGTGTTTGCACTATACTTTCTGGAATCTTATTTAACAAAAAGTAAAGGAAAACATTGCTTGACTAAACTCGTGGCCGTGTTGATGCAAGAACCAGTGGGTTTCGTTGCAACGGGCTGCCCGTCTGGCTGACCTGCAGGACAGACTCTGTGACGCCTGCCCGCTCCGGCCCCCGCCCCCGCCCCCGCCCCCGCCCCGGGCTCCGCCCTCCCGTGACCACAAATCCCGTTGAGTGACGGTGAGGCTGAGGGTGACACCTGTGCCCGAAGGAAAGCGTGGATGGGAACTTACCCAGAGCAGCGTGGTCAGGTGGGGGGACGTGGACATCACGGGGGGGTATGACAGCCGGATCGGGAGTCGGGGGGGGTCCTCATCAACAGGCCGAGCGGCAGTGCTGAGCTCGAACCCGAGTCGGCAGGCCGAGGTCGGGCCGAGGTCGGGCTCAGCAGAGGAGAGGCAGCGGCCGGGGAGGGGTTGACATTGGCCAGGACGCACCTCGTGACTGCCCTTGTGGGGAGCCCGTCACACCCCTGAACCAGGGGCAGGAGGGACGGGGCTGGAGCAGGGACCAGTGACCCAGAGCTGGTGGCTAGGGGGGCCCCAAGGCCGTGTGGGCGGGGTGGGGGGCACACCCTGGGGGCCCCAGAGCGTGGTGGAGGCGTGGGCCCAGTCCTGGTTTGTCCCAGCATGACGCAAGGCAGGGACGGAAGCGGCCCGGCGGGGCATCGCGCACCCACTGGACTCCCGGGGGAGCACCGCCTCCGGGACCTGCCGCCGGGCGGGACGGGCGGCGAAGTGTCTGCCGCCCTCCCACGGCTGCCGCCAGTTTTCCTGCCCCTCTCCACTCTGCGTTTCGTTTGAAAAGTCAATATACGTATCATTTTTAAAATACACTTTCCCTCTCTATTTTCATCGTCCACACCGTTGCAGAGCCCTGCCCCCTCTGAATAAGCCTGTTGTGTCGAGAACCGGTCGCTGTCCCAGCAGAGGAGATGGCCGACGGTGGAGGACACGGCTCCTGGGGGGGGGGGCTGGCTCAGCAGACACATCCCCCCCCACCCCCCCGCACACAGGACTCGGGGGTCGGCAGCCCCAGGGCCTGTCCCCTCCTGTGGGGACTGTCACTCCTTCCACATTGGGGACCTGGAGGTGGCCCTTCAGGGGGACCAGGTTTGCCACCCACACTCCTGCCGCTTGGGTGCCCCCACCCCCGCCTCTCAGCAACCCCGACCTTGCCCGCCTGTGCCGCCCACTGCCCCACCCAGCCTGAGAGTCTGTTTGGGGGCCTCTGTTTCGGGGTGCTGCATGTCAGAGAGCCCGTTTGGTTCTGCCCCAGCAGCAAGCTTGGCCCTTGTTCCTGAGAAGCACTGGGCTGCCCCACTGGCCTGGACGAGGGGGCGCAGACATGAGGCTTCTCTGGGTTTTAGAAGAAAGGTGAATCCCACACGTGTAGGTCAAGTGGGGGCATGAGAACACGCACAAGAGTAGAGCCCAGCTCTGCACCTGCGTGCACCCCCAGAGACATGCGCCTTGGGGGCTGGGCCGGGCCGGGCCTGGCAGTCCGAGCCGTGTCCTGTGCACCTGAAGCTCCCGGCGCCTGCTCCTCCTTCCCCACAGTCGGGGGGTGCCAGGGGCGGGCAGGAGGGCCCCTTCCTCCACCCCCAGGGAACGAACCCAGCGCCGCAGGCCCCAGAGGCCCGCAGGTTGGGAGCCCTGGGATCCCCAGCCCTCGCCAGGCCAGCGGGTCCCTGAGCTCCCTGGTCTTTACCTGCAAAGCATCAGCCAGCCCCCCCGCCCCCCACGAGCCACACTGGACTCTGGGAAGCAGGCGGTGGGCGGGGGCCCGGCTCAGCTGGGCTGGCGCGGCCAGGACCACACTTGGGTCTGAGTAACAAGGTCTTTATCAACAGCCCCCCCACCACCACCTGAGGGGGCACCTGCGGCAAGTCCCGAGGAGGGCGTGGGGCGTGCAGGTGGATGGACAGACGGACGAGAGTCAGGCCGAGGCCCCGGCGCCCGCTGGCCCCCCCGCGCTCAGTCGTCCTCCACGGTGAGCTCGTGCTGGGTGGCCTCCTCGATGCTCCAGAGCAGGCGGGCCTCCCACTGCCTCACGCGCTCGGTCTGTGGGGGCAGCGGGCTCGCTGAGGGGGGCTGGTGGGGACAGCGGCGCCTCCTCCGTGCTGCCAACCCCCCACCGTCAGCTCCTGGGCACCGCCCAGGCCTTGAGCCACAGGGGCTCAGCCAACCAGCCGGCACTGTCCCCGCCCACAAGCCAGGGGCTGCCACCCACGATGGAGCCACAGCCACCCAGACGCCGAGGACGGCCTCGGGGACGGTGGGGTCGGGACATGAGGGGCTGGGTCTGACCAGGGCACGGAGAGGTCGGGGGGGGCAGCCAGGGTGCAGTGGAGCTGGGCGGGGGGCTGGCGCAGGCAGCACCTGCAGATGGGTGTCTGAGTGGCCAGGGGATCATCTGTTTGTTGCTGTTGCCCAGAGGCCCCCTCCCCGGAGCTGGGACAGTGCAGGGTGAGGGGGCAGGATGGGCTCAACCAGACCACGGGGCGTGCGCCCAGGCCAAGGGGGACAGGCCTGGAGGAGGAAGGGACAAGGGCGGGGCCACTGGCCGGCCCAGGCCTCCCCTGCAGTTCAGGGTCCTCCCCCTGGAAAGCGTGATATCAGCAGCAAAGCCGGGACACACAGACAGCAGGACAGACCTCAGGGGCTGCGGAGGGGCCGGCCCAGGGTTCCTAGAGCTGACGGGTGGGCGAGGGCACCCAGGGCAGGGGCCTGACTGCCAGCACAGGGGAGCAGGGGGTGGCCGCAGGGGGTGGGGGGGGCAAGGACAGTGGGGGGCTCTCCGGGGCTCCCACGTCATCTGCCCCGTCCCCAGCAGTGTGCTGAGGAGTCTGGGGAGCGAGGGGACGGTGGGACACGTATTTGCACAGCATAAGCAAAGGTCCTCCCCCTGGGGGCAGGGGGACCCCCAGAGAGGGGCCCGGATGTCAGAAAGGCCAGTCACTCAGCGGCCTCTGGCCTGCGACTTCACCATGCCCAGGCCGAGGTCCCTCAGGGAGGGAGGGACTGAGGTCTTGCTCCCCACTGTCACAGGCCACCTCCTGGGGGGACCCAGATCTCCCAGGGGACAGGGACAGGCTGGGGTCGGGGACAGGCTGGGGCCGGGGCCTGCCTACCACAGCTGCCAGCTTCTCCGGGTCCCGGTGCCTCCGCCCGGCGGGGTTCGGGATCCCGGGCAACCGGGTGTTTCCTGTCCAGCTCCCCGGGGCCTCTCCCTGCTTCTCACGTTGCCGCTGCCGCTGCCGCCGCCGCCGCCGCCGCCGCTGGGTGACCTCAGCCGGGGCGGGTGGCTCTTCCTCAGGGGCCCAGGGGTCTGCCTCTGGCCCCAGCTGCTCGCTGGACTCCTCAGAGGCCCAGATGGTGGAAAGCCGTCTCTTCCGGACGGGGGACGGCAGGTCCCAGGAAGAGTGTGCGGACAGCAGGGACCCATCAGCAGGGCCCCCTGCCCGGCGGTAGAGGGCACGGCCCAGGGGGCTCCCGGGCCGGCGCAGGGAGCCCTCCTCAGGGGTGCTGTGCTTCGGGGCCGCCCCCGGGGACGGCCGTCCGGGCGCTGACGGCGGGCCCTCGTCCTCGGAGGAGCTCCACTCGGAGACCTGCCCAAACAGAGCACAGAGGTGGCTTCCTGGGGCGGGGGTGGGGGGGCCCGGGGGCTAAGCCGAGGGACGGTCACCGAGCCCGAAGGCAGAGGCGGCAAACACCAGGCCCGCAGGCTGAACCCGGCCTCCGCCGTGTTTCACGGCCCGGCACCTCGTTTCTCCCCGCGGCAGCGCCGACCTCCTGACCCTAGTTAGGGAGCGGTCACGCGTACACAGCCCTACAGCTGCGTCCGGCCCTCTGAGGGCAACCGCGAGGCTGATGTGCCCCCCGCCCCCCGCCATGAAAATGAGTTTGACGCCCCTGCCCTAAGGAAAGGATTTTTTATAAATGTTTTTGGGGGAAGAAAAGTAGAAGCCTTGTGAATGAGATCAGCTTAACCTTTAACCTCAGTCTGAACAGGCGACACCGCGACACACTGTGCAGGTGTCCGTCCAAACGTCCGTCTGTCGGTCAGGGAGGTCTCGTCGGGGACCGGGTGCCCTCCAGGGGAGCGGTCCCCGTGGGGCCGAGGGGCGGGGACCTGCCCGCGGAGCCGCTCCCAGGGGCACGAGGTCGGGCCCCTTCCCCCCTCACGGGACCTGCTCTGAACTGGCCACGCAGGCCCGGGCTGGCTGGGTGCTGGTGCTTGGACGGCGCTTTGGCCGGCCAGTCGGGGAAAAGCCCAGAACCAGAGGGAGCCCACATCCCCTATCTGATGCCCTATCCTGAAATAAGGGGTGGGGCTGGCACACTGGACTATTTTCATACTGTGAAAATCTCACAGGCCACTCAGAAAAGAGCGTTAAGAGAACCTCACACCACATCGCCCACCAGGAACCAGGAAGATGCCGGGAGCCCGAGGGCAGACACACAGGGGCGCGGGGGTGTGGGGCGGGGATTGGGGGACCGCTCCCTCGGCTCGCCCGAGTGGGCTTTCCGGTGGAGACGCAGCGCGGGAGCCGTGACGGGGCGGGGGGGGGGGAGAGCTGCATCCGACTAAAAGCTCCTCCGTGTCCGTGTCCGTGTCCGTGAAGCGAAGCGAGGCGGGGCCCCCCGGGAAGGGCACGGAGGCAGACGGCAGAGTCCGCGGGGAGGAGGGAGGGGGCGGCCAAACGGGGGCTCGCTTCCTGCCGCCCCGCGCAGGCAGCCGCTGGGGACGCCGCGGGACCCCGAGCCGTTTCTGGTCTGTGACGCTGCTGCTTTTAACCACCACAAGACGAGAGCCCCACGCGTTGGGCAGACGCCCTGGGAAAACCGAGGAAGGATAGGAACCTGAAGAAGTTCTAGAAGCAGCTCGAAAAGGATGTTCTCCTACCGGCGGGGCGGGCGGGGCGGGCGGGGCGGGGTGTCGCCTGGGGCCTGCTTCTCACCGGTTCGCGGCCGAAGAAGGAAACGAAGACGCCCCGCTGCTCTGCCCCGGGACTCGGGAGCCCCGGACCCATGTGGGGGAGGGGACGGGGGTCGCCCCACAGCGGGGCCTCTGGGCCGAGGCTCAGGCTCGGGGTGAAAGGTCGGCTCCGGTCCTCACCCGCCGGCCGTTATCTGGCTCCGCGCCTGCCTCTCGCGTCGGGCCTGCGCGGCAGGGCGGCGGGGTGGGGGGGGGTCTCTGGACAGCGGGGTCCGGTAGCGGTAGCGGCGCGCGCGGGGCCCCTCGCCCGCCCTGCCCCGTCCCCCCCCCCCCCGCGCCCTCGGGGCCCACCTGCGCCCCGGGCTCCATGCCGCTCCCCGCGGCGGCGGCCACCTCCCGGCAAGCCTGGTGCGGCGCCGAGGCACCCGCGGCGTCCGCGAAGCCGGTCGGTGCAGGCGCGCTGGGGCTCACCTGTGCGGGGCTTGCACCTGTCGAGCCCCGTGGCCGCGCAGGCGCAGAAGGCGCGGGGCGGGGCCGCGAGCCCCGAGGGTCTGCACCTGGCGGGTCCCCTTTTGACCCGAGTGTGTGTGTCGGGCCTCCGGGAGTCGGGCTGCCCGCGGACCCTCAGCGCGAGCCGCCGTTGTGCGCGCTCTGTGGGCCCCGCAGCCTCGGCATCGGCCGACCCGGGAAGGGCCGGAGGTCGTCGCCCCAACTCGGCTCCCAAGGCCGCCGAGGCCCCGACGTCCCGGCGCGTCCTGAGGGCAGCGCCAGGGCGGGACGGGCGAGCGCAGCGCTGCGTCCCAGCCTCCCTTCCGAGGGAATCAAACTCAAGCGATGGGGCCCCGGCGGGGCCTGCGGGAGCCCAGCCGGCCCAGCTCCGTCTCTGCGGACCGTCTCTGCGGACCGGACCGAGCTGGAGGGATGGGGGCTGGGCCGGGGGGGAGGGGTGCTCCCAGGTGCCGGGCATTAATGAACGGCTTTCGCTGGTTCCTGAATCCCAGGGCCCTCCCCCCAGGAGCGGGTGGGGGTGGGGCTGGAGCGAGGAGGCGCGCGCGGAGAGGCCGCCCTCTGGGAACGCTGCTTCCCGCACATCCTCCCCGGTGACCCCGTTTCGGTGACAGACGGGGGGAGCCCAGAGCAGGGCTGGGGGGGGCCTGATCAAGGTCACGTCGTCGTGGGACCTGGCGGACCTAGCTGGGCACCCCGACTGTCTGCCCCCTAGGTCCGCGCGCCCCAGTCCTGGCTACTGTCTAGTGGAAGGAGAAGTAATTCCAGACCAGAACTCGGCCTGGAAGAGGCCGCGTGATGTGGGCGGAGGGGTCTTGTCCACTGTTCTCTCCTCTCTGGGGGTCTGGCCGCGCTGGAGGCGCTATCCCCCTCCTTGGAGACCTGAGTCCCCAGCCCTACTGAGGCTCCGGAGAGAGTGTCCTGTCCAGTTAGGGTGGGCCCCGCCTGTGTGCATGCCCCCCCCCACGGAGGGGAGCCTCCCACCCCACTGTCCAGGCTCCGGGGGCCGGGGCACAGCCCTTCTGACTGCTGGTCGCTGGGGGCCCAACGCTTGAGGGTGCGAGAGGCCTGTGAAGGGGGGTCCCACCAACGGGGTGGGGGTGTCAGGAGTTGACAGCCCCCCCTCGTTTCCGGCCTCTGCCTGCCAGGGAGGTGGCGTTAGCTTTAAGAGCCCACGGGTGCCAGTGCACAGAGCGGGAAATGCTCACTGATTCAACCTCAGGGTTTGTGCAAGGGCAGACACACTCTGCCGCCAGTCGTGCGTGTGCTCACGTGAGTGTGCCTGCATGCCCGGGTAGGTGTGTGCCTGCAGGTGCACGCTTACGGGCCAGAGGTCCTCGGTGTTCGGTGTCAACGGGCTGTCCAGCTGACAGTCTAGTGCGATGTCATTTCAGAAATTGCACACGCACCGCACACACACTGCACACGCACCACACACGCACCGGACACACACACGCAGACCCTCACGTTCAGAAAGGGACCGAAGGAAACGGTAACACTGGGAATGTTTAGGTGGTGGGACGATGAACAAATTTTAGCATCACCTAAGTCCATTATCACTCTTTCTCAAAGGAAAGTGCTCACCACCACCACAACAACAAAAGACCCAAATAAGATAACAGATCAAAGCTCCAGAAACGATACGACTAAACGATGAAGAGACAGCCAACCCACCAGATGCACAGTTCAAAACACTGGTAATCAGGATGCTCACAGAACTGGTTGAGTATAGTTGCAAAACAGAGGAAGAAGTGAAGGCTATGAAAAGTGTAATAAAGGAAAATGCACAGGGAACCAACAGTGAAGGGAAGGAAACAGGGACTCAAGTCTATGGTTTGGAGCAGAAGGAAGAAAGAAACATTCAACCAAAACAGAATGAAGAAACAAGAATTAAAAAAAAAATAAGGAAAGGCTTAGGAACTTTCAGGACGTCTGTCAACATTCCAACATCTGAATCACAGGGGAGCCAGAAGGAGAGGAGGAAGAGCAAGAAACTGAAAACTTATCTGAAAGAAGGAGAATTTCCCCATTCTGGCCAAGGAAGTAGACTTCCAGGAAGTCCAGGAAGCTCAGAGAATCCCAGAGAGGTTGGACCCAAGGAGGAACCCACCAAGGCACATCATAATTACATTAGTCAAGATTAAAGATTAGGAGAGAATCCTAGAAGCAGCAAGAGACAAAGAGATAGTTACCTACAAAGGAGTTCCCATCAGACTATCAGCTGATTTCTCAAAAGAGACCTTGCAGGCAAGAAGGGGCTGGAAGGAAGTATTCCAAGTCACGAAAGGCAAGGACCTACATCCCAGATTGCTCTATCCTGCAAAGCTTTCATTTAGAATGGAAGGGCAGATAAAGTGCTTCTCAGATAAGGCCAAGTTAAAGGAGTTCATCATCACTAAGCCTTTGTTATAGGAAATGTTAAAGGGACTAATCTAAGAAAAAGAAGCCCATCAAAACTATGAACAGTAAAACGACAACGAACTCAAAACTATCAACTGAAACTAAAAACAAACCAACAAAGACAAAGTAACCAGACAATGAGAACAGGGACAGAATCAGAGAAATGGAGATCCCGTGGGTGGATTTCAGTGGGGAGGGGGGAGGGAGGAAGGGGGGGGAAGGTACAGGGAAGAAGCAGCATCATTGGTGGCATAAAATAGACGGGGGGGGGGGAGGTGAAGAATGGTCTAGGAAACAGAGGGCTCAAAGAACTTGTATGTACAACCCATGGCCATGAACTAAGGCGGGGGAGCTGGAGGGTTGGGGTGCAGGGCGGAGGGGGGATAAAGGGGGGAAAGTTGGGAAAACTGTAATAGCGTCATCAATAAAATGTACTTAAAAAGAGGACAATGCAAACATGTGCTCACTGAAGACACACTCGGGGATGTCCACGGCAGCCGCGTTGGCAAGAGCCCCGCCCGCACTGGGAACCGCCCGACGAACCGCCCGACCATCCTCGGCCGCAGGCGGGCCCGGAACACTGCGCGCTGCAGCGCCGCCCAGCGGCGGTTTCCAGGAGGGCAGCCTGCCCGCTCACCAGCCCGCGGCAGCGCTGGGGCACGTTTCTGATCGTCACAACTAGGGCGGCCTGAGGCGCTGGCGTCTCGTGGGTGAACACCAAGGATGCTGCTAAACAATAAAAACAGGAAATTGCTGTTAGTAAAGAATAATAAAAAAAATAGAGCCCTGGCTGGTGTGGCTCAGTGGATTGAGCGTGGGCCTGCGAACCAAAGGGTTGCTGGTTCGATTCCCAGTCAGGGCACAGGCCTGGGTTGAGGGCCAGGTCCCCAGTAGGGGGTGCACCAGAGGCAACCACACGCTGATGTTTCTCTCCCTCCCTCTGCCTCCCTCTCCCTCCCTTCTCCTTTGTCTAAAAATGAATAAATAAAATCTTTAAAAAAAAATAGAGCTTCCGGGCACAGCCCGTCATTTTCCAGATGGAGAACCGTGGGCAGCCGAGGGGACACTTTGTCCAAAGGCCAGAGCCTGTCAGGTGGGGGCTTCCTGGACACCGTCCCGGTGTCCTGTTTTCTCGCAGCGCCGGGCCACCCCAGGCAGTCCTGACCCGGTCCCCCTGACCTCCTGGCACACAGGTGCACTGCTCTGACCGCAGTGACGGCTCTTGTGTTTGCGTTCGTGAACGGAAACATTGTGAAACCTGCCCTGTGTGTCTACGGTCACATCCGTCTGGCACACGGTGTCACCTGTCCCCGGGCCCTTCCCCGCCGCACGGGGCGGCCGGCCCTCTGGGGAGAAGGCGGGGGTCTGGGAGCAGGGCCCCGGGGGTCGGGGGGCCCCGGGCTGGGCCCCCGGCGGGAGCTGGCCCCACACCCTACTGGACGCTGAAGGAGGGAAGTTGACCACCGCTCTCCGTCTTCCCGGGTGCAGGAGCGGGGGGGGGGGCACCCTGCAGCGCATCCTGTGAGGCCGTCGTTGCCCAGAACCAGATGCCGGAACCAGCCGGAGACGCCGCAAGGACGGAAGGGCGCAGCCCAGCCCCCCCCATGAACACAGGCGCAAAACCCTCCACAAAGCGTTAGCACGTCAAGCCCCACGGCGAATGAACACACTTCCACGCCCTGACCACGTGGGGCCCACCCCCACCTGCCCCCGGTGCCCCAGGCAGGCTCAGCACCCGAAAGTCAATCAATCACCGTGCCCATCCTGTGGACAGGTGAGAGAGTGTTCCGTGAGTGCATCGACAGATGCGGAAAACGCATTAAGAAAAACCCAACCTCCGCTCATGAGGGAAACTCTCGGACACTAGGGACCCAGGGGGAGGGCCTCAGGAGCACCTGCGAGAAGCCACGGCCACGTCGGACCCGATAACGGCGGGAGCGCGAAGCTTCCCGCTGAGCCCAGGCGCGAGGCGAGGGGTCAGGGCTCCGGTCAGCTTTGTGCCGCGAGTCCTCACCGAGGCCGGGGCTCAACGAGGAGACGGAGGGTGCACAGATGGAGGGGGGCGGCCGAGAGCCGAGTTGCACGCAGGTGCCTCGGCGGTCTGTGTGAGAAGTCGGGGAGAACCCAAAAACGACCTCCGGAACCAGGTTGCCCCCGCAAGGCCGACGGGTGCAAAGCCTATGCACAGAGTCCGTCCCTTCTGGGTGCGCGAGCAATGAACGAGCGGATCTGAAATTAAAAAACCCGACATGCGACCGTTTACATGCGCACCCCCGCGTGGAAAACGGGGGGGCAGTCACTGTAGCACAGTGTGCAGGAGGTCCGTCCAAGGGAGACTCGTCTCCACGTTGTGGAGGGGCCGAGCGCACGGAGAGGCCGTCCGAGTTCGTGGGCAGGAAGACATGGGCCGGCCGGGATGCTGGCCCTTCCCAGCACGGTCGACAGGCCTAACGCGACCCCCGTCAAAGCCCCAGCAAGTGTGGGGTTCTCGGTGCCGACGGCTGCCTGTAGAGTCTCTGGGGAGGCAGAGGACCCAGAAGGGCCCGCACAGGTTGGTGGAGACCGGGGGGAAGGGCCGAGGCTGGCTGACTCCCGGGCTCAGCGTGGCTCTGCAGCAAACCCCAGAACGGTCTCCGGCGTGGAGCGTGGCACGTAACGGACGGCCCACGAGACACACCGACCCGTGGGGTGGTTTGGGGAGCCCAGGAAGAGACCCCATAAATACCGTTGACTGACCTTGGATCAAGGAGTAAAGAAAGACAGTACGACATAGTCAGGCAGTTTCTTAATAAACGGCGCTGGGACAACCGGACACGCAAGGAGAAGAATCTTCAGCCCTGGCTGGGGTGGCTCAGTGGACTGAGTGCAGGCCTGTGAACCAAAGGGTGGCAGGTTCGATTCCCGGTCAGGGCACAGGCCTGGGTTGTGGGCCAGGTCCCCAGTAGGGGGCGTGCGAGAGGCAACCACACACTGATGTTTCTCTCCTTCTCTTTCTCCCTCCCCCTTTCCTTTAAAAGTGAAATCTTTAAAAAAATTATGTTTAAAAACTCTTCACACAGACCTTCGTAGACGTTGACTCAGAGCGGGTCACAGAACTAAACGGAAGCTGTGAGACGCCGACTCCTCGCAGACAGACAGGCGGGGAGGGGTCCGGGGCAGCCCTGGGCGCGAGGATGGCGTTCTCGGCGCAGCACCGGCCCCGCGCTCGATTCACAGGCCGGGCTTCGGTGAAACCGCGCCCTTCTGACCTGCGAAGGAAACCGTAGCCAGAGTGAGGAGACAAACCCCCACCAGGGGGGACAGTGGCCAGAGTCACATCTGACTGTTGACCGACACGCCAAAAACCCCTTAAAACCCAAAAGCAGGAAAACACACAACCTGGCCGATAAATGGCCGAAAGCCCCAACAGACACGCCCCCACAGGAGGCCACAGAGGGCACGGGGCCAAATCCAGACTCGGACCCGAATGCACTCCGTGCCTCTGTGGCGGCCGCGCCCCGGGAGGCGGGCTGGATGCCCCGACGAGGGGCCAGCGACTGCAGTGAGGGAGGCTGCCCCCCCTTTATTTTATTTTGTCCTCACCTGAGGACCTTTTCTTCGTTGCCGTAGGAAACGGGGGGCGGGGAGAGGGAGAGAGGGAAACATCGATGTGAGAGAAAAGCGTTGACTGGTTGCCTCCTCTGTGCCCCTGGACCGGGAATCGAACCTGCAACCTTCTGGCTGTGGGACGATGCTCCAACCAGCAGAGCCGCGCTGGCCAGGGCTGTGCTCCCCGTGTAGGCGCCTGTTTCTCCCTCTAATGCAGGAGGCTGGCTGCCCCCCCCTTTGGGGCCAGGTCCTTGCCCCTCACCCCCCACCCCCGTGCCTGGTGGGCACACCACGGCAGAAGGTGGGTGGGCAGGGGGTCCCGCTGCCCCGGGCGGGTCTGCTGGGGCTTGACGAGGGACCCTGCTGTTTGGGGGCAGATGGGGCCGTGGACTCCTTCAGGGTCCGGGCTGTGCTCACGTGACGGGAGCTGCGTGACTTCTCCGCTCTGGTGTGAGCCCGGGCGTGACTCCGGCGTGGGGGGCAGGTTGGCCTTGGCTCGAGGTGACGGAGGTGACGTCGCCGGCCGTCACCCAGGAGCTGCGCGGCCGGACGCAGTTTTGTTTTCTCCCCGGGGTTGAAAACAACGTCCCTCGGGGGGGGTTCCCCCGGGTTGCAGCACCCTCTCCCTTTGAAAGTGCGGCTCTGCCCTTGACCCCGGCGTCATTTTCGAGCGCGCGGATTGCCCAATTTTCCACTGCCCGGGAGGGAGCAGCAGGCCGTGGAGGCAGGGCCGGAGGCGGTGGGCGAAGGCAGGCCCCCAGGGTCTCAGCTGCTGGGGAGCCCCGCCTGGGCTAGGAGTGGGCGGGGGCAGCGCAGGCACACGGGGCTCACTGCGCCTGGAGGGCGCTGCGCCCATTTCCCAGGCCGGGACACTGAGGCCCCGGGCGTTGGATCCAGGTGCCGGCCCAGGCGGTCCTGCCGGGACCCACCTCGGGGCTCCCATCCTGGGCTCACTCCTCAGTGGCCGCACTGCAGTGCCCTGAAGGGGCCGCGCCCCCTCGGGCGGCCCCAGGGGCTGCCTGGACTTCGTCCTGGGCTTTTCTGAGGGGCAGGAGGCATCTGCGTCTCCTGGGATCCAGGGCGACACAGCCCATGGGACACACAGCCCACGTGTGGCACTCCCTGAAAACCTCCCCCGAGGACCCCCTGGCCCCCGGTGCACCCCGACTGCCCCCCGAGCTCGCAGGCACCAGGCCCCCACCTCGGACACCGGCAGCTCAGGGTGGGGAAGGCGAGTGGTTCGGCCCTGCCTCCTGAGGGGGCCTGGGTGGGGGTCCCTGGCCCCCAGGCGAGTGCATATTGCTGCCAGTCCGCACAGAGGTCCCCGCTCTCCGCACCTGTTGCGGAGCCAGGCTCTCGGACTCCACTGGGTGCTCACGTGGGTGGGGTGTCTGCCAGCGCCCTGGGCGTGGTGCTGGGCGGGGGCAACTGCAAGCCCCCGGCCCCGCGGGAGACACAGGCTGCTGCGGGCGTGTGCAGCTCTGCAGCACAGCCCTGACCCAGCCCGGCCCGGCTTCCGGAGGCAGAGGGGGCCCCTCGGCCCACCCGGGGCCGGGCTTCACAGGGAGGGCTTCTCAGAGAGGAGGACGTCCAGCAGACCCTGAGGGGGCAGCGGGGCAGAGGGGGCTCTGGGCGCCCTGAAGGGGCAGGGACACGGTGGAGCCTTAGCCAGGAGCTCATGGGGACACGGCTGGGCAGGACGCTCCAGGGCCCTGGCCCCCGGCCTGAGGCCGCCCCTCTGTGTCCACCCCAGGGTGTCCGGCCGCCCACCCGCCCTCTGACCTCCTCCGCTGGCCCTGGCCCCGTGGGACCATCCCCCCACATCCCACCGGGCGGTCCCCCCCTCCCTCCCTCCATCCCGGCGTTCGCCCCAGGTCCTGTTAAAGGGGTCGTGACTGGGTTTCTCCCTCTAGAGTTCGGCGGGCGGAGTGAACTCTTGTGGGTGGCGGGCCCCCGGCTCTGTGCCGCGTCCAGACAGCGGTCAGCGCCTGGCCTGCGGGGCTCCGGCATGCAGGGTCTCTGAGTGGGGGTCTGTCCTTCAGGCCTGGGGCCGGGCGATCTCCCAGGGCTGGCTCCTGCCCGCTGGCTCAGCCTCCGGGGGTGGCGGGCTGCCCCCTCCCCCAGGCCCAGTCCTCCAGCGTCCACGCAGGAAGAATCCCGGTCATTCCCGAACACGCCTCCGTCTCCCCAGCCCCCTGCCTTCCCCGCGGCGGTCTGCCCTCCCGCACTGCACCCCATCGGAGACCGGCCCTGGCTGTGCCTGTGGCTGCGCCTGCTCTGGGAAGCGCCAGGCCTGGCCGGGGCCGGCTTCCTGCTGCTCGCCACGTGCCCCGGACCCTCCAGTGACCCTCTTTGCAAAGTTCCCACGACACTGTGCTGTGAGCAGTCCGGACCCCGCCCCCGCCCCTCGCTCTGGGCCTGCACCTGCTGGGGGCCAGCTGGTCCGTGCGCCTCCGTCTGATGCGGGAAGGGGGGATCGAAGGCAGCACCTGGATGTGCGCTGTGCAGAGCGGGGGGCCGGGCCCCTCGTCTGATGGGTGGGCGTGGGAGGGGGGTGTGGCCAGAGCCCCAGAGATGGGAGAAGGACAGAGTCGGCGGAGTCCAGAGATGGAGCAAAGGACGGACCTGGGTGACCGGGAGACGCGGGTGGGGATGCTGGGGCTGGACGCTGAGCGGGGGTTCACAAGGCCGGGGCTGGGGGACCACGGTGGGGCTCCAGGGCACGAGACTGCAACGGGGTGGGGGCCGGACCCTGGGGCCCTCGGTTCAGGATGGCCCCAGAGATGACCACAACCTCGGGCACCTCCGTGAGACCCAGCCTGCCGTGGGGCGGCCACTGACCCCACAGGACGGACGGGCGGGTGGCCCACGGGCCGCCAGGGACGGTCCCTCCTTCTGCGCGTGGGGTCAGAGAGGGGGCAGCAGGGCCAGGTTTGGGGCCGTGTGTCTTGCTGCTGCCGTATGAGGCAGGCAACGGAGACGCAGGGCCGTCGGCCCCGGACGGGGGTCCCACTGCGTGAGGGGCCAAGCGAGACCCGGAGGAGGGAGGCCGCGACCTCCCGGCGTGAGCACGAGCGGTGACGGACGCCAGGCACACGGTGGGCAGCCCCGCCGTCGTTCAGGAGACGGTTCTGGGGGACGCCGCCTCTGCACCGAGGAAGCGGGGGGCGGGGCGTGGACTTGGGGGGCCCAGTCTTCTGGAGCCGGAGCCCCGCAGGGACCCGCGGCAGGCCCCGCGCCGCCTGGCGGAAGGCGTCCGTGCACGCCTCGGCCGGCACCGGACTTTGCTCTGGAAACGCAGTGACGAACATGACCCTGGACTTCCAACAGCATCCCTCTCACGACCTTGTTTTGGTGGCCGCAGGGGAGAGGCCGTGACCTGTCCTTGTTGACGAGCTGAGGGCCCGGGCGGCCATGGCCGGGGAAGGAGCCGGGCCCCTCCCGAGACGGACGGTGCGAGCACCTGGTCGCACGGGACGCAGCGTTCACTGGACAGTGCACGCCTGGGGGGTCGGGGCGCAGGCACGGCAGCCTCCGCTCTGTCTCCTCGTTTCACGCCCCCCACCCGGAGGTGCCGATGTCAGTTTCTCACACCTTCTTCTTCTTCTTCTTTTTTTTAAAGATTTTATTTATTTATTTTAGAGAGGGAAGGGAGGGAGATAGAGAGAGAGAAACATCCATGTGTGGTTGCTGGGTGCCGTGGCCTGCAACCCAGGCATGTGCCCTGACTGGGAATCGAACCTGTGACACTTTGGTTCCCAGCCCGCACTCAACCCACTGAGCTACGCCAGCCGGGCCTACGAGTTCTTCTTGAGTGTTAATACGCCGCAACAAAAGTGACATGCGCGTTCCTATCGCACGTCACACACACGCCTGGAGGTTCTCCTGGATGCGCACAGTGAACCGGGAGACCCCCCTCTGTGGGTCAGGGCGGGGCCGCCTGCCTTCAGGGGCTGGGTCCGTGAGCGGCTGCTGCTCTGGGGGGCAGGGGCAGGGTGTGGCGGGCGCCCCTCACTGTCTTGGGAAGCACAGGGACATTCCCTTGCAGCTCAGGAGAATATGCAAGAACTGGGAATTTTAACTGAAGAGACGGCCTTGCTGTCTGATTCCCGATGAGCCTTCGGTCTGAGCTGTGCAGTCGGAGGCAGCCTGGGGCCTGGGTGCCGCCCTGTCCCCCGGCCCCAGGCCCTCTGCTGCCCGGAGGTGCCGTCGCCAAGGTCTGGAGGTGCTGGGCGGGCCGCAGTGAGACCGAGGGGGCCTGGCCCTGGGACGGACAGACCGCCCCCCCCCCCCAGTCCTCCCTCCTGGGAAGGGCTGGGAGGCTGAGCTTCCTGCAGGAGGAAAGCGCTCCTGGGCTTGGCCGCCGCGGACAGCCAGGCCAGCAGACGCCTGGGTCCTGCTCTGCTCCCTCTGGGCCTCACCCCCCCATTTGAAGCCGGGGCGAGGGGGGCGCGTGGGGGGTTTCCTTGGCTCACTGGGCTGGGCTCCTCGCACCAAACACCACGGCCCCCTCCACCTGGCCGGGAGCTCCTGGTCGGACCTGCACTCTGGCCCCAGGTGGGAAGGAACCACAGCAGGACACACGCAGTCCGAAACCTGGACGCAAACCCTCCTTCCGCCCACGCTTGGCACGGGGCCTTGAGCGCAGGAGCAAAACAAACTTATTTTGAAAACAGCCCTCCAGCGCGATGCCCTGCCAATCATTAACCTCCGGGACAGGTGACCCGGCCGTGCCCTTCATAAGGCGCGCCCGGCGCCCAGCGAGCAGCCAGCTCCCAGCAAACGGCGACCACGGTGCTTGTCCGCCCCCGTCCAGCGAGCAGCCAGCAGCGAGCACCGGCCCCTGCCCGCCACCCCGCCCGACGATGCCCGCGCTCCCCGCCGGCCGCACCTGGCCGCTCCTCCTGCTGTTGGCCGTCCGGCTCGGCACGGCCGTGGGCGCTCCCCAGCCGTGGCACTGCGCACCCTGCTCCGCCGAGAGGCTCGCGCTCTGCCCGCCCCTGCCCGCCTCCTGCCCCGAGCCCGCCCGGCCCGCCGGCTGCGGCTGCTGCCCGGTGTGCGCTCTGCCTCTGGGCTCCGCCTGCGGGGTGGCCACGGCACGCTGCGCCGGCGGACTCAGCTGCCGCGCTCTGCCCGGGGAGCCGCGGCCCCTGTACGCCCTCACCCGTGGCCAGGGCGCCTGCATGCCCGCATCGGACGC